TTTTTTTCTTTCTCCCCTTCACATTCTCTCTCTCACATCTGTCTGCTACTTCCTACTTCTACTTCTTCTATTCTCTCCTCTTCTTACAGCACATCCTCCAATTCTTAACTTCATCAATCTTCCTCCCGGCGAACACCCCCCACATAACCACTCATCCACACAACTCCAGTACCCCCCTCAGCGCCTAGGCTGTAACAATTAATTCTCTCCTCGCGTCTCCCACCGACTTCTGCTACGGTCGCCCCTCAATTCCACCACCGACTTCTTCTTCAATTTCACCGGGCTGTCAGGGGATTGACTGCCCGTGTGTTGACCGTCTGACTCAATCATGGCCTCCTTCAAGGTACTCCATTCAATCCGTCTCCTATCTCTTTGATTTTCAATTCTTTTGATTCATAACCTATATTTATACCCTGAAATTCAATTCTAATTTACTTCATCTCCAGGAATTGTCTCTCTCCCGTCCTCTCCCCCATCCCAACTCCCGTCACCATTCTCACTCCTTTTCCCTCGGTGCGGCAAACTCCACTCATCGGGTGACCCGTCGGAAAAGTGTCACCACCGCCGCCGCTGCCAATGCTGCCGCCGTCGTCGCCGCCACCATGAAGGACATTCCCACCACCGAATCCCGCGGCATTCCCATGCCCGCACACCGTCGAGGCAGTCGGAGGGGTCTCGAGTCCTCCTCCTTGGGGGTTCCCTCCGCGGCGGCTTCCTCCTATCTCTCCCGCTCCGGCAACAGTCCCAGTGACCACCACCACCACCCCCCGGTCGCTCGCAAGTCCGCCGACGGCGGTCTGGCAGCGAACTCCCCCCCGGGCGACGATGCCACGGGGGCCCTGGCGGACGCCAAACAACGTGACCGTCGGGCCAGCGAAGGGTCGCACTTGGTGAAAGGCGAGGGGAAGCGGTCCATGGTCGAGCTCCGCTGCGAACGCTGCGGCAAAGGCTACAAGCATGGCAGCTGCTTGTCCAAGCACATGTGCGTATCCTCCCTGTTGCGTGCCCTTGCCGTCTGGTCCCTCTCTCGCCTGCATCGTCGTTCCCCTTTCTCTCCTCCCCCTCTCTTCCCCTTACCCTCCTTTTCTCTCCCCCCTCGTCGGTTCGTAATTCGCTGGACTTGGTGATTGACCCTCTCGCAATGTAGGTGGGAGCATGATCCGGCCTGGGCCATTACCTCCAAACTCCTCATCTCCAAGCACCAGCAGGTTCAGCTGCTCGAGGCCGCCTCTGTCCTCGTCAACATGAACCAGGAATGCCCGACCGCCGACGGCTGCGAAATCGACTCGGACCTCTCCTCTGCGTCGCCCGACGCCTCGTCGGAGTTGCGCGATGGACTGAGCTCCGCCGAGACCACCCCGCCCCCGATGGATGAGGATGACGACGACCGGATGGAGATGTCGGTGGAACCCGAGCCCCTGGGCAAGCAGTTCAGCGTCAGCAACGCCTCGGGTCCTTTCTCCCGTTCCTTCCAATCCATCCCCGCGAGCTCCTTCACCGGCAGCGCCCCCTGGCCGTCCCCCGGCTTCTCGCACCACCGCCATTCCAGCATCGATACCCGACCGTCCACGGCCGAGGCTAAGCTGCACGACGACGACGAGGCCGACCTGGCCGCCGCCATCGGTCTGTGCAACTTCGGCACCCCGCGCACGCGACCGGTCGCCATGTCCCCCAGCGTCCCCTCCGTCCCGGAGCTGCCCACCCGCGTGTTGGACCACCCCGCCGGCACGGAAAGCCGGAGTCTCGATCCGTCCACGGTCGGGTTCACCCCGGCTACCCCGAGCATCTTCCCGTCGCTGTCCTACAACCCATCCCTGTCGTACAAGGTGTCGGACGAGCGCGAGGTGCGCAGGGGCGCCACGGACCGTTCCTCCCGCAAGCAACGCAATGCGGATGTCGATTTCGGCAGCCGGCCAGCCCCCGCCGATGACGACGACGACGGGGTCTTTGGCCGGATGGAGGAATAATGGACCTGACTCTGTCTTTCTTTCTTTGTCGTTTCTTTCCCACGTTTTGCATCTGGATTCCTTGTTCTTTATTCCCCCCCCCCCAAACCAATCGAACTGCCACGTTGCAGTACTACATTTTTCATGACATGTACGAACTTGCGCGCACCGCTGTGTGACCATTTTGATTTCTGGCCGAGCTGAAGGAGTTGAAACACCCCCTTTGCGTGTATGACTTTTCTATTTATTATCTTGTTTTGTTTTTATCTTTTATTATTTTTTTTTTTTTGGATCTCCCTTTCGTATTTCCCCCCACTTTGTTTGTTTCCTTTTTCAGGAATTGTATCACCCGCGGCTTGTCCTGTGCGACCCGGAGCTTTGAAACGCTTAATGAATTCCGCGCCTTGTCAAGTTCCTTTTTCTCCTTTTTTTTTCTCCGGGTCTCTTCATTACCCACCACCATTCGCTCTCTACGTCTATCTCTCCTCGACGGTATCATCCACCTCAACCTGTTATGTACCACTTCTTTTTTTTTTTCTTTTCCTTTTCTCCCCCTCGTCTTCCATCCGGCCAAACACGGCATGTGCACCTGCCTACTCCACACATCATATCATATCATATATCATACTATATTATACATCATTGCATGGGTTTTTGGATGTGAAGCCCCCATTCCCTCTGTCTCCCCTGTCTTCTCTTTTGTGTACACAGATTCCCCTTCTTGGGGCGATTCTTGGAATAAATATATTATCATAATCTTTGACTCTACTGTACTATTTAAACCTTAGACTTGTTTATCTTTCTAATTGGACTTCGGAGCAGATGGATCTAAGTCGAAAAGAAGGCGGAAAGAAGTCAAGAAACAAAGTCTAGACCAACTATAAAGTGACAAATGAAGTGGAGAAAATTCTTAGACAATCTGGAGTCTGGACTCTGGAGACTGGACGATGGAGTGGACAATAAACGGGGTCATTTCATTCTCGATGGAGCCTTCGTATCCACCTTCTTTTCCCTTTTCTTCCTTTTCCTTTCCTTTTGGGTTTGTTTTGTTTCCCACTTCCCCTCTTCCCCGGCATTACGAAATAAAATGTAAACAAATAAACCCCGGATTTTGATTAAATACATGGTTTGACTTTTATTCTTTTTTTTTTTTTTTTCCCTTTCCCCGCTTTTTGGTTCTTTTCCCCTCTCTTTTTGACTTTGGATTTTGTCTTTGCTTTAGTGGTTGGTTGGTTGTTTGGTTGGTTGACTGGATTGCAAAGTTGATGATCTTCTTGCTTTTTTGTTGAGTTTCTTCTTTTTTGTTTTCTTTGGTCTTTTTGTTTGGTCTCGACAAAGGGAGGAGGGACAAATTGGTGTTTTGTTTTGGAACACCCCCGCCCTCCGCGTCCTGTCTTTTCGCGCTTTGTTTCTGGTTTTATTCTCCGCTTTGTTCTCCGCTTGTCCTCCAATTCTATCTTACAAGTCTGTCTCCGTCGGGTACTCGATTGAAAATTTAAAAGTGCGCAGTGGGTATCTTTGGTTGTCATAATCGTCGTCGTCGTCGTCGTAATGTTCGTCGTGACTGGTATGTTGAAAAGCCATGTTCTTTCGTGTGGAACATGTTTTGTCCCAGTGTCAGACCTTGCAAGGTAGCTAGGTAGCTATAGATGGATCGGCCCGGGAGGTGTGTCTGTGGCTGGGACTGTGGCTTCCATCTCTTCCCTTGATTTGTGTGACCGTTCATGGCAAGGAGACGGTTCAGGTGGTGGTGGTTTTCCGTCCGGTTCTGACAACGTGGGTGTTTGTTTGTGCGACAGGCAGCCGGCCAACAATGGTTGTTGGGGTTGTCGCTCTCTATCGTAGAGGCCTTCTCCAGTGTCGTTGTCGTGGCATTCCACGGTGAGAATGAGTGTGGTTTGCTCGTGTGACGAGAAGGATAGCAGCGAGTTCGCTCTCTATTGAAGTGGGTTCATGGCAAGGAGACCGTTCAGGTGGGAGTTGATGCTCCGTCTGGTTCTGACAATGTAGTGGTTGTGCGACGGGCAGCCAACATTGGTTGTTGGGGTTGTCGCTCTCTATCGTAGAGGTTTTCTCCCGTGTTTTTGTCGTTGCATTCCACGATGAGTATGAGTGTGGTCTGCTCGTGCGACGAGGAGGATAAAAGCGTGGTTGGCCTCTATTGAAGAGGCTGTGGTTTTTCTGCTCTCTCCATGTTGTGGGGTGAGCTTGCTTGGGTTTTGGTTCGTCGTGTCTGCCCAGTGGTGCTGCTTGGTTTTGCCAGCTGGGATGTCGGTGGTCTCTGTTTGGATTGGCTGAGATTCACGGACAGTGAGATTGTGGTGTTTCACTTGTTGTCGAGCTTTCACTTGACGTTGAGTAAAGAGAAAGATAGTGAACTTTGATCCCGATTCGAGGGAGGCAGGGTGCAGCCGAGCGAAAGTAGGTAATGATACTCGATCCCGATTCTCACGAAACGGGTGCCCTGCACGGACGGGGTTGTAGCCTTTCATCATCGGGCGAACCACGACCCCAATGGAAAAACAGTTCTGGAATCGCCATGGTTAGCGAACATGCTCCCAAGCGTCAATTTTCGAACAAGGTGTTATACTTACTGGAATAAAACGGCTACCATGCCGTACCGCCACTCACTCCCAACTCCACCATACCAACCGCGGACATCCAGCACCATAACACTCCCCACCTCCCGCACCAAGGGCCGTGGTCCAGACAGGGAAGGATCCGCTTCGCGCATCAATTTCTCGGCTGCTCCGAAGAACAACCGGTCCGTGACGCGGGAGGGATACAACTTCCCCCTCGGCCCAGTCGACAACTCGGCCCCCTGCCGAAGCAGAGGGAGCACCCTGCTAGACGAACTAGCAGGGCCCATGCGGGGGACAAGGAGGCGTTGGGGGCATGGGCTGGATGTCACCAGACGGCGGCGGATGCACGCCCATGACAGGCGTGGGAGCTGGGGGAGGACCGCCTTGTTGCTCATCCCTCCGCCGGGAAAACAGGACACCTCTATCGCCTGGATTAACAGGCCCCGGGTTTGGAGTGATCGGTGCCTGCGGCTCGAGGGGCCCAGGACCAGCCGCGAGATCGGCCTGTTCGACCTCTCGCTCCAGTTGTTCCTGCTGCTCTCTCTCGAGTCGCCTTTGATAGGCCCGCCTCTGCCGCCGGTTGGGTCGATTCTTCCGCTGTCGCGGGGTCGACTCGGGCTCCGCTCCAGCCTCCACCGGCTCCGGTTGACGGGGCACTGGGTCCCTCTGTCTCTCGGGCGAATGGGTCGAACCGGTTGCAGATTCTGTGTCGGGAGCAAGACCGTCGCCTTTCGTGAAAGCATCGTTGGCGCCATCGGGGACGGAATCCGAGTCCTCCTTGACGGTGCAGGGATCCACGTCCGGGACCACGCTGACGGAACACCGGCGCTCCAAGCAGGGGGTCGCTGCCTCCACCTCTTGGTGGATCATCACGTCCCTCTCCGCCTGTTGCTCCTCCGGTGGGGTCAGCATGGTCGGGGTGGTGAGAACGGCGTCGATGAAGCTGGCAGAGACCGCCGAGGGCATCGGAATTGCGATCAGAGCGTCCATCTCCTTGTACAGGGAGGACGCTCCGTCGGTCGCAAGGTAGTGGGCTACCTTGCGTTTGCCCCCGAGGAGTCTGCCGAACCAATCTCGGACCATTCTCAGTGTGTAAGCACCTGAAGAGCCGAGGCTCTTCCAGAGGAACCAAACGGAAGCCAGAAAACCCAAAGCGATGGCAGTGAAGGTGACACCAGACGGCGTGGGCGATGTTGATGCCGTCGAGTGCCAGTCACAGACTGGCTGCTCGACGGCCTCCTCCCACAGCGGGATGACCACGCTGAGTGCCGTCTCCGTGGTGTCTAGGTCTACCCGGTCCCATGGACTTTCGAAATCAGTCCAGGGATCGTACACGTCCTCGTGCCGAGGAACCATGTACTCAGAGTGTAAGTCCTCCGCCAGGTGGCAGGCCATTTTGGCCGACACTGTCACGCAAAAGGCGCCGCCGATGCGTTTCAAGAAACCCTCCTCAGGATGCATAAACCCCGGCACAGGGAAGAATGCACCCCAGAGGTAGACGGCCAGGAAAACACTGACAAATGGGAAAAGCATCTTCTAAACGTTAGCTACGGGTTCAGTTTGTGTCGGAGGGGCTTGAATGAATCTTTCAGATCCCACCTTGTTCAGTTTTGATGATGGTGATGATTAAAGCTTGCTAGCTGTGTATTTTGTGATGATAGTGTTTGGTACTATGTGGATTGCTGATGGATGCAATGATAATGAGAAAAGGAAGAAGGAAGAAAAGAAAGAGAGGAGAGAGAAGAGAAGAAGAAGAAAAAGAGGAGGAGGGGGGAAAGGGACTGTGGGAGGGGGCTTAGGCCAGTCCTGCTTGACGCGGAACGATGAGTGAATAACATGAGTGATTCCATCAGATTTAGAATGGATATTGATGCGGTGAATGATGTTGGCTACTTCTTGCTTCATAGTGGGTAGCCATGGCCCATGGGAGATATGGAAGACCTACGCGAGGAAGCAGTGACTGGTGGTGTCCCAGGTAGAGTGAGTGAATGTCACTATGTTGTCCCAGGCAGTATGGATGACGAGTATTACATATCACTACAAATTCTTCTTTTATATTGACTGGGAATGAGTCTGCCTACACAAGATATCCAGCCCACAAGATATTACTGCTGGGTGATGGGATAGAGCCATGTAACTGTAAGAGTGTCATAGTTGCAAGATGGTGCTTGTCCATGGAGAACCTATGTAGGTATGAGTCATTACAACCGTTTAGCTTGTTTTGAACCACTGAGCTCTACAGTAATTTTCTAATTCAGTATCCACCACAAATAGACAAAAGTATCCAGATATCTGTCTCTATTTCTTCTATATGTCTATCAAATTGATGTGATGTTGATCTATATACTCCTGTTTGAACCGTTTGTTCCCGCTAAACCCAAACAGGGATCGGCCCGTCGCCCTCCGATTTTTCGTCTTGGCGGAACTTTCGAGGTTCTTTTTCTCTTCCAACGTCAGCCACTCAACCACTCCGTCAACTTCTCCTCTCCCGTTCCTGTCTCTCTCCACTAAACAGTCCCTCTCGTCGGCTCTCCCACTTGATTCAATTCGATGACCATGTCGGTTCTTGTTATGGGCCTGGGCGCTGCTAGCGCTGCCTTTTTGGTAAGCTAGGAATCAATTCCCCCCTCTCTTCCGACCGTATTACCCACCCGACCAACGTTGCGCTAACCGCTGGGGTCTTTTTACGGTAGGGTCGCGCTGGCTATGTTGCCCTTCGTCGTTACCAAGGAGGTATGAATGCCGCGGGCAAGGCCTTCTACAAGGGGTAGGTTCATCGACACTATCAGGTGAAATGCGATGGGATTGCTAACTGGTGGATAGTGGATTTGAACCCCGGATGAGCCGTCGCGAAGCCTCTCTGATCCTGGAACTGCCGTATGTCTTTGACACGCCGAGATGGAGCCCCGCCTCTTCACGCACGAAATCACTAATCCAGCGAGTAGGGAACGCACGATGAACAAGGACAAGGTCCGCAAGAAGCACCGTCAGCTCATGCTCCTCAACCACCCCGATCGCGGTGGTAGCCCGTACCTGGCGACCAAGATCAACGAAGCGAAGGAATTTCTGGACAAGCATACCTAGAGATGTTCTGTGGGTGGATTAGGGTGACTGCACCCAAGGCTTCGCTCGCTCGACGCGGGGTCGATCGGTGCGGATTTCGAGGGATGTCACCTGGTGTAAGAATATGTCTTTGGATGCATAGCGTGGCGTTGGCGTGGATTGTCTTCTTTTTATTCTGTCTCTCTTTTCTGGTGACACGAGAGATTCCCCTCTGGGGAGATGTTGTATGTTCATATATTCCGATGAGATCGCCACTCTGCCTGTATATTCTATAACTACGATTTTCCTTTTGGTATTTCTGGCTCTGCCGTGTATTCCATATCCAATACTATTGTGAATCGCGAAAAAAGCATCTCGAATAGTAGAAGGAAGACCTGGTCGGAACGGATCGATCGCTGTGGAACTCGGAGTTGGAAAGGATGGACACCCACTTCTTAGCTAAGTACGTAGTAGGTGTCTGGTACGGACTACGGAGGGATGGTGTATTAGGCTCGGGTTTCGGGGTTAACGGGTTCCGAGTCAGGCCTGAGGCCAAGTCAGAGTCATAGAGTCAAACTCTTCGAAAGAATTTAGAGATACTTCTCTTGGACCCTCAGACTAGTTCCAAATGAGTAACTGCTCTTTCATAAGTAGTTCCTGTTTTTAAAAAGAGTTCTGAAATCAGCAGAAATACTCCCGTGCTGAGTCGCATCGATCGGGGGACAAGGCAGCCATCATTAACTACTACTAAGTTGACTACGGAGTAGATGCTGCTGCTTCCCGAGACCCATCGATAAGCTCCATTTCTTTGTTCAAGACCTTTCCGAGGATCTTCTGGATCGATCTAATCTCTTTCTCTTCCATTCTTTCTTTCTTTTGAATTTCTGTGATTTGTGATCTTGATCAATTTTTTTTTTGGGGGACGTCTCCTCGCCACGTGCCTCTCGTTTGTCTCGGCCAAAGTTGAGTAAGCCGTAGTTCATCTTCATCTCGGTCGTGGGTTCAACTACGCTGGGATTTTCTCCTCCCCGCCTTTCTCTCCTCTCGCGCCTCCTGAATCTCTTTCCCCACCACTCAAGATACCGGTCGACTTACCCTAGTCACTCCTTTGTCTGGGAACCTGCTTCCTCGAGCAGACACCGTGGTTGCGCCCGGATCGTTTTCCTTCGCGCATGCCTGTCGCGGACGAAACACGCCCCCGCATCGCCTTGTCTATCTGCCCTCAAAGGACCTCCTGATTCGCCCTTCACCTAGGGCCTTCTCCTATAGCCACCGGATAATCGACACCTCGGACAGTCCCACCTTACAGCGTGCCGGCTCCGCTCCTCCATCATGGACGGGATGGGGGAAGGCTCGGAGGGTATGGGCTTTGATATGCCAATGCTCATGAACCAGCAGCCGAACCTCTTTGGCGCATACGGCCCCGAGGGCTCCCCGATGAATTCAGTCCTCCCGAACCCCGCATACGATGACGCCGCGCTTATGGCGGGTGACGACGCTAATGATTCCAAGAGAAGGAGGATCGCACGGGTGAGTCGCGGCTGACGAGACGGGGTCATACAGGGTGCTCATCGTCTTTCTAGGCTTGCGACATGTGCCGGAAGAAGAAGATCAAATGTGATGGCAAGATGCCCAAGTGCTCTCATTGCCTCAACTACAAGACGGAATGCGTGTTTACACAGGTCGAGAAGAAGCGAAATCCTCCTAAAGGGTATGTATGTTCTCTGCGGTGGTTTCTTCTCGGTTGCGGGGGCTGACTCGATGGTTGTGGTATTGTGCAGGGCCAAGTATATCGAAGGCTTGGAGAACCGACTCGGGAGGATGGAGTCTTTGTTGAAACTCTCGGGACTTTTGTCAGAGGAAGACGGTGGAAAGACAGACCTCGGGACCTTGGAGAAACGCCTCGCCGATCGGTCCATGTCCGCTGGCGCCCCGTCCGCTGGCGCCCCATCCGCTGCGAAGAGCCCGAATCGATTCACCGCGCCGCCGTCGGCCACCCAGTCCCAGCAGAATACAGCGTCCCGCCAATCAACCCCCCGCGTGGAATCCCAGCCGAGCCCGCACACGGCTCCCACGTCGCCCGAATCGCAGAAGGACTCGGAACCGGAGGTGGAGGGGTTATCGGATATGATGTGCTCGCTGGTAACGAACAACTGCGGCGAGACGCGGTATATCGGTATGCGCTTGTGCTATTTAGCCCCTTGATGATTGCAGGGAGATTGACGTTTGGCTTTGCAGGGTCGTCCTCGGGGTTTTCGATCTTCTCGCCCAAGGGTATCCAATGGGTCAACGAGAAGACGGGTGATACTTCGTTTCAGGATATGATCTCGTCGGCGTATGTCGACGATAACAAGTGGATGTATTGGAAGCCGGAGATCTTCAGTGATATCTTTGCTCGGCGTGTCTTCAAACCGCTACCGCCCAAGGAGGAAGCCATGTCTCTCTTCCGGGACTTCTTTGAGAACTTCAATTGCATGTTTCCACTCTTCCACGAGCCCACCTTCATGCACTTGGTGGAGCGCCAGTATTCGCGCGACCCTTACGAGGGTTCCGGCTGGTGGGCCAGCATCAACGTTGTCCTGGCCATTGCGCATAGATTGCGAGTCATGAGCAACTTGGTCCCCCAGGAAGAGGACAAGAAAGGGTGGCTGTATCTGAAGAACTCGATGGGGGTCTTGACTGAACTCACCATGCGAAATACGGATTTGCTGAGCGTACAGGCGTTGCTTGGCATGGTAAGTTCCACCGACACTCTTAATTGTGGCGTTTTTTTCTGACTATGTTGGCAGTCTCTGTTCCTCCAAGGAACACCCAACCCTCAGCCATCGTTCTTCCTCGTTGCGGCCGCGATCAGACTTTCTCACAGCATTGGCTTGCACAAGAGAGGGTCTGGCTTTGGGTTGAACCCGGTGGAGGTTGAGCAACGGAAACGGGTTTTCTGGATTGCCTACCTTCTTGACAAGGAGTAAGTACACTTGATGGTTTTTGTTTATAGTACCCGCAAGATTGTGCCGCACTGTACGACTGAGTTCGGTTCTAACGTACCTAATAGCATCTGTCTCCGATCTGGCCGTCCTCCGGTGCAGGACGATGATGATATGAATGTTGAATTACCGAGTGACGATCCTCCCGATAATATTGGCAATGTGCCCCTTGCCGATGGCAAAGGAAAATTCAACCTATTTAGGTGCATGTGCCGCTTTGCCATCATCGGAAGCCGGGTCTATAAGCGACTCTACTCCGCCAAGGCCTCCAAGCAGTCGGACGGCGAGCTACTAAACACCATTGGCGAACTGGACAAGGAGCTGGAAGAGTGGAAGGATAGCATTCCTCTGGACTTCCGACCGGAACACGAAATCAAAGCCTCTCACACCCCTCTAATTCTCCATGTGGTGGTCCTTCACTTTGCCTACTACAACTGCTTGACGACCATTCACCGAATGTCCGTGCACCACGGGTATTGGACAAGCCGTCTGTCCAACTACGCCATCCAGGGACTGAATGCTCGGCCGCTGAATCCCCGCGTGTTCCTATCGGCTGTGCTCTGTGTCACCGCTGCGCGAGCATCCATCAACCTCATCAAATATATTCCCCAAGGCGACTTTGCTTGTGTATGGTGAGTCAAGGCATTGGCGATCCTATATTCAAACAGCATTGCTAACCCACCCCTCAGGCTAATACTCTATTACCCCGTGTCGGCCTTGGTGACCCTGTTTGCCAATATCCTGCAAAATCCAAACGACGCCCGTGCTCGTTCCGACGTCAAACTGATGAACGTCGTGGTCAACTTCCTCTCGACCCTTGTCTCCGACGAATCCAACGGTAGCATCAAGCGCATGCTCGGCCTGTGCGGGGAGTTCGAACGCATCGCTCAGGTGGTGCTCGACAAGGCCGAGCGAGAGTCTCACACCAAGAAAAAGCGCAAGGCGCCTCCCGATGAACCTCAGAACGCGCAGCGACATAGCCCCGAGGAGTCTTCTGGCCCTTCTCCCTCTGCAAAGAGACCCGCGAATGCACCGCCTACTACCGCGCCATTTACCCCACCCATATACTCAGGCAACGTTCCCGAGAACGAACCCAACGAGCCCAACGAAGCAAGAACCTTCGCGCCGAGCCAAACAGTCCCAGGACCCACCAGCTTCCCACCCAACGTACACGACAACCTCCAAGCCATGTCAGGCCTGGGACAGGACTTCCCGGAGATGCTCAGTCCCAACATGGACGGGCTCGGATTCGGCGACCCCGCCTCCTTCGCCAGCACCCCCAATCACCCGATGTCATTCCAGCAACCCTTTGTCCCACAGGATCTCTGGCAGATGCCAATGACCATAGAGTGGGACTGGGCCGACATGTCGACGAATTTCCCGGTTTTTGACACCAACGGACCGTCTCCGCATGGGTCGTGAAGCCAGCCAGCCAGCCCCATGATGAGATGCGAATGAGTAGAGCAGAGCAGAGCTACGAATGAGACTTACGACCGACATACCCACCACGCTCTCGGGGGATATCCGAGAGCCATTGAAACGGCGTCAATGGAGTTTGGGACTGGTACTTACTTACTTTACTCTTCCCCCTCACGTCTGAAAATCTCCCTTCTTCTTTTTCTTTCCTTTCTTTGGCTTCATGATTTCTTTTTTCCGCTCGTGACATACTTTGTGTATGCGATACCAATGGCGCAGTTGCTGTTTACCTGTCTGAGCGCACACTCCCCCGGTTAGCCTCTGTGCATCCTAACCTCTTCATGGATTATGTGTGGTGCGCGATCGGAGGGATTTTTCCCGACTGTATATACAAGATGTAATCATTCCATAAGATTCTACTCTCCTCTATATATGATTGCCCCTTTGGTCCTCCGTCTTATAGAATGTGATTGGAAGAAATAATGAAATAAACTCACTGAATCCACTACTTTATAGTCAGAAAGTACTCCTACTCCTACTCCTACTCCTAATCGTACTACCATGTTACTACACAGGTACATAGTGAGGTAAATGACGGAGGTTCTTGGCTTTGACTCAGTGCCGCGGCCCGGCTGAGTCATCACGCCGGCGGAACAGCGAAAATTCCCAAGGCTGGACGAACGAAGGCGGGAAGAACAGAGAGACCGCCGAACTTTGATCTTGTCCTCCGTCAACGACACTAATTCCCGGCTCCTCCAAGAGCTTCTTCTGTCTTCTCTCCCCCCCTCCTCCTCTTTCCCCACAACCTCTTCCCTCCAAGTCAGAAAACTCCGACGAGGGTTTATGGCTTTCACTGTTTGCTGAAGGCTACCAATCTATCTGCTTACGACATCTACCACCACACCCCGAATCAAACGACCTCCACTCGACCTCTCTGCTCGCCGCTAGGCTCCACCTTCCTCGACAATGGCCTCCGCCCTCCGACGGCCAGGCAATCTTGCTCGATACTCGAGGAGAGCCTCGGAGTACTTTCTCCGCGCTGGTCCGCGCGCCCCGTACACTCCCCGATCGGCCCTTCCGTCGCTGATCAACGCGCGAACGTACGCCTCCAACGGCCGCAACGGTCCGAAACCCCCGAGCAACGACCAGAACGGCCAGCAACCGCCCAGTCCGCCGGGGCCGGGGAAGGGTGATGGTCAGAACAATGAGGGCCCCGCGAAGCCGGAGCCAGAGCAGCAGCCCCAGTCGACTCTCTCCATGGTAGAGGAGGGGTTGCTGAACCGGGCTGCTGAGGACCTGAAGCGGAAACTTCCGGGTTCGCAACATGCGCTGGTGGATGAGGTACATGCGTTGATCAAGGTGAGGGGCATGCCTCAGGAGATGCGGCGGTTCGCCCACAAAGTGGAAGACGGCGAGTCGGTTTCCCTGATGGAATACGCGAAGATGGCGAAGTGGATGGACAGCTATGCTGCCGAGAGCCGTGAGATGGGCTATAACCAGGGAGATGAGGGAGCGCACAAGCAGCATAAAGGACCTGAATCGGAGAAAGAGCAGCAGCAACGGAAAAAGGAGCAAGGAGAGGGAGGCGCGAAGCAACCGAATTTCAAGACGCTCGAATTTCGCATGGATCCCGCCACGTTCCTGGTCACGGCGTTGTTGACGTACTACACGTACAAAAGCATCTTCCCCGGCACTACTGGCAAGGAGATCACGTGGCAGGAGTTCCGGGCGAATTTCTTCGACCGGGGCCTGGTCGAGAAGTTGACCGTCGTCAACGATAGTCTGGTCCGGGTCGACGTGCACCGTGATGCGTTGCTTCGGACGTACCCCGACTCTCCCGCTGCTCAACCTAACTTCAACTATTACTTCAGTATTGGGTCCGTCGACACGTTCGAGCGGAGGCTCGACGAGGCACAGGACGAGTTGCATATCCCCAGCTCCGAACGGATCCCTGTCTCCTACGTTGAGGAAACATCGTGGGGTCCCGTGATTATGTCACTCGCCCCGACGGCCTTGATGATCGGCTCCTTTTTGTTCTTCGCGAGGCGCAGCGGTGGAGGTGGCGGCGGCGGCCTTTTCGGCATCGGGAAGAGCCGCGCCAAGCGGTTCAACCACGAGACCGATATCAAGACCAAGTTCGCCGATGTAGCGGGCATGGATGAGGCTAAGGTTGAGATCATGGAGTTTGTCAGCTTCCTCCAGAACCCGCAGAAGTTTGAGAGGCTCGGAGCCAAGATCCCTCGCGGCGCCATCCTTTCAGGTCCCCCCGGTACCGGTAAGACGCTGCTTGCCAAGGCGACAGCCGGCGAGTCGGGCGTCCCCTTCTTCAGCGTCAGCGGTTCCGAGTTCGTTGAAATGTTCGTCGGTGTTGGTCCGTCTCGTGTGCGTGATCTGTTCGCCAACGCACGGAAGAACACCCCGTGCATCATCTTCATCGATGAGATCGATGCCATTGGTAAATCCCGAGCGAAGCAGGCCTACGGTGGCGGTAACGATGAGCGCGAAAGCACCCTCAACCAGATTCTCACAGAAATGGACGGTTTCAACACTTCAGAGCAGGTGGTCGTCCTGGCCGGTACGAACCGGGCGGATGTGCTTGACAAGGCTTTGATGCGACCCGGTCGATTCGACCGACACATCACGATCGACCGACCGACTATGGATGGACGCAAGCAGATCTTCCGTGTTCACTTGAAGAAGATCGTGACGGACGAGGACATGGACTACTTGACCGGTAGACTTTCGGCCCTCACGCCTGGTTTCGCTGGTGCTGACATTGCGAACTGCTGTAACGAGGCGGCCTTAGTTGGTACGTTTGCATTGCCCATCTCTTCTTTTTGATAGCCACGAATACTAATACAATCGACAGCCGCTCGTCACAACGCTGATCGCGTCACCATGCAGCATTTCGAGCAGGCTATTGAGCGTGTGATCGGTGGCCTCGAGAAGAAGTCCGTTGTGCTCTCCCCCGAGGAGAAGCGCACGGTAGCCTACCACGAGGCCGGACACGCCGTCTGTGGCTGGTACTTCCGCTGGGCCGACCCGCTGCTCAAGGTCTCCATTATCCCTCGAGGCCAGGGCGCCCTGGGTTACGCCCAGTACCTGCCCGCTGGCGGTGACACCTATTTGATGAGTGTCAACCAGATGATGGACCGCATGGCGATGACCCTGGGTGGCCGTGTGAGCGAGGAGCTGCACTTCGACAGCGTCACCAGCGGCGCCAGCGACGATTTCAACAAAGTCACCCGCCTGGCAACCGCCATGGTAACCAAGTTCGGTATGTCGCCCAAGCTGCGGTACATCTACTACGAGGAGGATCCGTCGCAGCAGATGCACAAGCCTTTCTCGGACGACACCGCCCGGGACATCGACACCGAGGTTCAGCGCATCGTGGACGAGGCCCACAAGCAGTGTCTCAATCTTCTCACCGAGAAGAAGAAGGAAGTTGGCATCATTGCCGAGGAGTTGCTGGCCAAGGAGGTCCTCAGCCGCGATGACATGATCCGTCTGCTCGGCCCCCGCGAGTGGCCCGAGTCGGGCGAATTCGCCAAGTACTTCGATGGTAAGAACGGCCAGACCATCGCGCCGCCGGAGCCTCCTAGTAGCGACGAGATCAACGGCAAGAACGGAGAAGACCAGCCCCGTGTCCAGTGATAGAGCGCTAATGACACTGCCGACCGAACTTGAACCTGAACCTATGCGTGAACAAGGGCTATGTCAAAAGGGGGGAAACTAACCATCGAGCCGTTTATATTGGCAAGAGTTGGAAAGGGGCAAAAATCATCATCTCATCATTCACATATATGTTCTACGGGTTCTGTATTTATCTTGTCACGGAAGCATCTCCTTTCTTGTTTTTCTTTCCTTTTCTTTTTTCCTTCCCCTCTCTTACTTGTTTCTCCTTCTCAGATTTCCTCCCATCTATCCATCTATCCCCCCTTGTACTAACGCACCTTGTCCACACTTGCTCTCTTCGGTGCCGTGTCTGTCTCTCCCCTCCCTCCATCCTTGCCGTCTAGATATGATCTTCCATTCTTCCATTCTTCCTCTCCTCCTCTCTTCTTTTTTTTATCCGCTGCGTCGCGTCTCCTCAACTCTTTGTGTGCATGTTTGCTTTTGCTGCATTTTTCTTTTCTTGTCTCCTTATGAAATCACCTGGTGTCCCTGTTGTGTGTACTTGTATAGTAGTAGTCAAAGCTATTCATTTCTTATTCATTTTCCTTGCTGTGTGGGGGGTAGGGGGTAACTTGGAAGCTTGGATCTGATTCTAGGTAATGACTAGCTCATTGGGTGGTAGATAGATAGTAGATTAGTTAGAAAAGTGTGGACTTCTCCGTGGTTGGTTTTTTGAACGGATTGTTGGTAGTATTATATATGATATGTAGGTAGGTAAGGAATGGTTGAGAATGACCAAATAAACGTAGATTCGATAAAGCACGCCATCCATGAACGTCCAAGATATCACTAAATAAAATATATACGGCAAATTCCAGAAAAAGAAAAAAAAAGAAAAAGAACAATACAGGATAATTTTGAGAAAAAAAGGTAGGTCAAATCCTGAGACCAATCCAATTTGGGAAAGAAAAAGGAAATTGATGATTCTACCAAATCGTCCACCCCTACTGGGCCTTCTTGCCCTCCTCGGTCACCGTCTGTTCGGCTCCCTGCGCCTTCTTCGCAACGGCCTTGCGGGACTTCTTCTTGTTGTACTGGGGCTTCACGGACAACCGGGGAAGGAAGCGTCCGACGCGCGCTTGGTATTCGCTGTACTCGGGGTATTTGCCGGCGCTGATGGACTCGGTGAGGCGGGTGCTGCCCTGGAAGATGAGGAGGTAGCCCAGAACGCCCAGGCCCGTCCATTGGGCATAGGTCTCCGTGCGGTAAGCGTTCCACAGGTACAGCGAGAGCCAGATGGCCTGTTCGGAGAGGAAGTTGGGGTGGCGGGACAGGGACCAGAGGCCGCTGACGACGAAGCCGCGCTCCAGGTCCTCGGGCGTGTACTGGTCCTTGTAGTACTCCGGGATGCGGGCTTCCTTCTGGTAGGTGTGCTTGGCGCGGTGGAAGTGCCACTGCTGCTGGTCGGCGAAGTACTCGATGATCAGGAAGAAGAAGGCGACGCGCGAGAAGACCAGATCTGGGATCTCGAAAGTCTGCTGCGATGGAAGACGCGACAGGAGGAGGAAGTTGTAGGTCGGGGCCGTGATGAGCAACAGAAGCAGAGACTGGGTCAGGCTGATGAACACGATGTTGAATAAGAACCAGATGAAGCGGTTGTTGACTTTGGCGCTCACAATTTCCCACCGGTAGTCTTCGGAGCCGATCTGGTAGCCGCCCTTGCGCCAGTAGTTGAACGTTAGGCGGAGCTGTCAACGATTCACGTTAGAATAGCTACCGTTGCGGGGCGAGGGTTGGCTGTATCTTACACTCCACAGCACAGTGATGGCGGCGATGGTATCCAGGGACTGGGTCGGGAGCCCTGACAGGCGCGCCCACACCGCATAGTGTACATTATAGACGGCAGGCAGGATACTCCAGAAGCGATCCACCTGGGAATAGTTGCGGTTGATCTCCGAGAAGACCAAAAAGTAAGCTGACATAGCCAGACAGAAGCCCAGCGCCGTAATAAAGGGGTTCGTCGACAGGTAGATATCCCTCAAAATGACCACATCTTTGGCCTCCGCCGCCACCTGCAGCCTCTCGGGAAGGGCGGATAATTGGGAAAGGAAGGGTAAGACTGTGTGGTTGAAAGACGCACAGTCCGTGATGGACTGAACGGTTGGGAGGGGCAACTCCATGACTCAGTTAACTCAGTTCTGCAGAACCTCGGGTGGGGAGATCAGTGACAGGCCACCTGTGTAAGGGGAGGATGACGATGATGAGAAAGTGAAGGATTGAGAGTCGAGGAAGATCAACGCAGCAACAACAACAACAAACAACCCCGGCCAGACGCTAGTCTGCTTTGGGCGAAGGAGCTTGGGCCAGCCTTGGTGCCTTAGGCTGTCAGGCTCACCATCCCGTTGCGGTAAAGCGCGTCTTTACGCGCTTCGTTCTTTTACAGGAAGTACTCCGGAGTACTTCTCTCAACTTACTCTTGCTTTCATCCCACTTGATCCGTTCAATTGTGGAAGAAAGGAAAACGAGGTAGTTAAGGGTCCCGGTGGGAGGAAGCAGAACATGAATAATATCTAGCAAAGATCAATTCCTCCCAGATCTGCGAGCATGAGTCCCACGAAGATCCTCTGTGTCGCTGAGAAGCCGGCCATTGCGAAGGCGGTGGCCCAACATCTCTCCGGTGGATCTGTGCGAACAGTAAGTTACAGACAGGGCGATAGGCCTGGTTGAAAATAGAACGGCAAGGCTGGATGCTAAGGGCACGGTAGATCCCCATTCGTGGAAACCAGTACGTGAAGAACTATGTGTTCGACTTCAACTTCGGTGCGCCATGGGGCAACTGTGCGGTCACCATGACGAGCGTACTTGGTCATCTGACGAAACTGGAGTTCGAAAAGCAGTACAGGGGCTGGCAGTCATGTCTGCCGGAATCCTTGTTCGAAGCTCCGGTATTCGAGTTGGTAGAAGATGTATGTCGCCGTCGTCTGCTCCCGCGAGCATCTCGCGGGCATAGAAAACCTGGCCGTTAACATCGAGAATGCAGGATAAAAAAGCAATTGCGAAGAACATCCAGGAGCAGGCCAGGTACTGCCAGGCTTTGTTCATCTGGACGGACTGTGACCGAGAGGGCGAGCACATCGGGACGGAGATCCGGAAGCATGCAAAGAAGGGCAATGCGCGGATCGTGGTCAAACGGGCTAAATTCAGCAACACCGAGAGGGCGTGAGTATCCGGTTCAGCCACAACGCTTGTATACCTACTGATGTCCTTGGAATCCCGCTTACAGCCATATCTTGAATGCTGCACGCGCCTTGATTGAGTTGGATGACCTCCAGGCGAATGCGGTGGCGGCTCGTACCGAACTCGACCTGCGAATCGGTGCGGCGTTTACGCGGCTATTGTCTATTCAGCTGCAGCCGCTGACAGAGGCCTTGGCTAACAAAGTCATAAGTTATGGTACGCCCTCTCTGATTCTGCCCCTCATTTCTACATGGCTAATGTTGGGCAGGGTCCTGTCAATTCCCGACGCTGGGGTTCGTCGTGGATCGTTATCTCCGGGTGAAGAACTTTAAGCCAGAAAAGTTCTGGGCCATCAAAGTGATGCACACTCGAGAAGATATTAAAGTCAACTTTCTTTGGAAGAGAGTCCATCTCTTCGACAGAGCGGTCGTGACGGTGATGCTGGAGCGATGCTTGATGGCCAAAAATGCCAAAGTCACAAAGGTGAACCAAAAGCCCACGAGCAAGTGGCGGCCGTTGCCCCTAACCACCGTGGATTTACAAATGATGGGAAGTCGATACCTTCGCATGGACAGTCAGGCCATCATGAAGGTAAGCGTCACACAGTTGACAGGTCTTGATTTCCAGCTAATTACGAACCCCCAGGCTGCCGAGTCGCTCTATACCAAGGGCTTCACCAGTTATCCACGTACCGAAACTGATCAGTTCGACAAAGGAATTGATCTGAAGAAATTGATCGAAAAGCAGTTTCCGGACAACAACTGGGGCCAATACGCCCGAGGGTATGGCTTTGTCTCTTCTGACTATCGTACATCTTACTAACTCCCCCTTTTTGAGCCAGACTCCTCGACGGTGGGTTTAGGACCCCACGAGCAGGGCGCCATAATGACCATGCCCATCCGCCCATCCATCCTATCTGTTGGGTCGCCCCGACGGCTTTGAACGCGGATGAGAAAAAAGTGTACGAATTCATCACCCGGCGATTCCTCGCCTGTTGTTCCGAAGACGCAAAGGGCCACAGTTCAGAGGTCGAGATCGAGTACGGAGATGAACTGTTCCACGCCAAGGGTTTGACCGTTCTAGAGCGGAACTTCCTTGATGTATACGTCTACGACAAGTGGGAAAGTAGTCAACAACTACCGAACTTCCGCGCGGGCGAGCTCTTTGAACCCACAGAAGCCAAGATCTTCGACGGCCAAACAACGGCCCCCAACTACCTGACAGAGCCAGAGCTCATCGGCCTTATGGACGCCAACGGGATTGGCACGGACGCTACGATGGCCGAGCACATCGCCAAGATCAAAGACAGGGAATATGTTGTGGTACACACGCGCGGCAGTGGCCGAAATGCCGCGAAAGTATTCATTCCCACCTGGCTGGGAATCGCCTTAGTCGAGGGGTACGACAATATTGTTTCCGGCCTGCCGGATAGTCCCTCGCTCAGCAAGCCATTCTTACGCAAAGAGATGGAGAGTCGGATGCGGGATATCTGCGCTGGTGCCATGACGCGCCACGACGTTGTACACGAGAGTCTGGATAAATACCACGAGGTGTTCATCCATACTGTAAGGCGCATTAATATGCTGAAAGATGCTATTCGAAAGTATTCGAGTCAAATCGGCGCGTCGTGATACTTTAGCCCGCTGTGGCTTGCAGTGCTACGTGGAGTTGGTTTAGGCTAGGCGGCTTGCTTGTCTGATATGATACCCTTAATTGAATTTATACACATGGCATTATTGTGAGTAAAACCAGCCCGTACTTAAAACCGTCACATTCATCGTATTAAAAAATCCTCCTGTGACGGCAGCACACCACAGGTTTCGAGGCCCAGTCCTTCATGATAAAGGAATCTACTACTAGAATGACCTGCGCTGGATGGTCCGTGATGTGATAGCATGATACTATCACAATCAGGCCCGATACCTCGCAACAGACCTTTCTAGTAGAGAACCTTCATACCAAGAGGTGGTCTCGATAACAGGAGCAGCGGCATACCGCCACATACAAAACCCATCCCGCGACAACACCTCGCCGAGATATACGGCAATAAAACTCCCAAGCTCAACCAACAACAAAATCGGAATCCAATCAAACCCTGAGCAGACATAGCCCCGTTAATGATCACCCTGGACTGAACTTGCCTCCCTTGCACTTCACTCCCTTATCCAGCCTCCCGCATAATCAAAATAAACGCCGCCTGGCTTGGTCAATCCGCCGCCGGCGGATCCGACGGCCTTTCTCGAACTCCTCCGGCATCGGATTGTACCCAGCAGCGGCTTGCCAGCGCTGGAGACTGAGCTGCTCCATGTCTGCCTCGCTGGGATCTTCTTGCGCGCTATCGCCTTGCGTGCTCTGGGCCGAGCTCGATGGCCGCTTACTCGCACTGTTGTGGGAAGACTGGTGAGATGCGGCTGCTTGGCTTTCGTCGATCTTCGCTTGAATAGTAGCGAAAGTGGTGTCAATGCTCGTGAGTTGTGCATCTGATTGAGGGGCGGGCTCCACCGTGGTCGACGGTACAGTGCCGACCATATGAGCAACGCGCCGGTCCAACTCGGTCTGCATTCGGGTATTCAAAGCCGCAAAACAGGCGTCCATATCGGAGAGCATTGTATCCCGCATCTTGGTGCACAGCCGCTCCTGATCTTCCTCAATCTGTGTCAAAATGTTTGCGACTTGACTGTCAAATTCAGCCATGGCAAGTGTGATATTTCTAATGGCTTGGACCTTTTTTGCTTGGATTTCTTCGACATAGGGATCGTGACCTAAGTTGTCCCAGTGGCTCGCCAACACTAGCAGGGAGGCCACACACGATCCTACAAGGACCGCAATCCAAAGCAGGCCAAATTGAAGCAGATAAGGGAGATGTGAGAAAGAAAGAGCAGGAGCAAGCGCATCCACGACCGGCTGGATAAATTGCCCAGCCTGGTTGAGCCATGACTGACCCCGTCGGCCGTATGCAGGATCCGAAATGGACTCACCCAGAACTGGGTCAGCTGGTGCTAAGGATGCACCGTCGGTGAAGCAGCCAGTTGCATTGGATGCGCAGGGCTGTGCACCGATTACAGGAGACAAATTCCATGAAGATAGGGGAATGGGACGCTCGTCCTCAGCTACAGCGAGGGTACCGGTGATGAGCTCGACTTGTTCCGCGAAGGTGCAAGATGAACAGATGCTGTTGAGGGCGACGGGTTGGAAGATGGTGAGGGCGGTTGTTAGATCCAGCAGCATGAAGTTGCAGAGCTCCATTGTTTATTTTGTGTCTCTTGTGATGATATTGATATTGATGTTGATGGATGTAAAAATGTCTGCAAAGCCGTGGTAGAATTCAATGTGTGATGGGAGATGGAAGAAGGAAGACATGGCCTCAACTAGAGAAGAGAGGGCATTTATATACCAGTCAGCTATAGAAGTCAGGTGTAAGAACGATCCTTTGTTCTGTGAATATTGCAGATGAAGTGAAATACAATTACGACACGCAGACTTGTGTGTGATAGCATGTCTAGTAAGGTACAGTGAATGCTAAAATGCCTGTCACTGGCCACTAATCAAATGAAATAGCTATGAGCGTATGCATTACTGACTAACCACTACTTAGATAGTTAGATTTAATAGAGATATGAGATTTAGGTAAGATATGTGGGTTTCCAATCTAGAAAAGATATACCATGATATTTATAGACAGTTCAGATACTGAGCATGTGCAATATCATTTGTGATGGCCCAGGTTCAATTTACATCGAGCACCATTCCTTTAAGAAAGGCGACCACCAAGGACAAAGCCATATCCAATAGTGAATCCCAGACAGACCATGTTTATCAGACTCGACACTCCGTGGACACGACCAAACCTCTTGTTCAGGGCCTGCATCTCCTTGGAGTGGGGTGGGGCGTCGTAACTCTTCTTGCCATCACGGGTTTCTGTTTAGTAAGACAGTTAGTGAGCATCATCTACTAATCTATTATGTACACAGATGGGGGAATTGGCCTACCCTGATGCTTCCGTTCCCGCATGATACCAATAGTCAACGGACGGAGCACGAACTGGTTCAGCAGTCCAGTCACCATGACCGTAACCATGGGAAACAAAGTGCTGTATCGGTTCTCTGGTGCAAGAAGTCCTGAGATCCCAAGGGACTGTCCATTCCGGCTAGCAGTCAAGGCAACCACGACAGGCAGAGCAGACTGGATGGTGAAGTAGATCGGGAATGTTGCTGTTTGCAGGGCCGCAAACTGGGGGCGGGGAAGAGCCCTAAAGGCAACTATGCCAGAGACAAAAGTCTAAACATAATCAGTGACTATTCATGGAAGGGGTATCCTATGTGGGAATTGAGATATGTTTGTGTACCTGGTAGAGTTGGACCCCGAGAAGGGAGCCATAGCTGTCGAGATGTCAATACGAGAAGCCTTGTTTCTGTTGTACTCATAGGGATACAAACCTGAGAATGTGATACGGGCGGGGATCCAGCACACTCATATTGAATATTGCGGTAGAAGATGTACAGAGGAGGTGGGGAAACAAAGCTATAGAAAAGTAGGTGGAATGACAGATGAAGCTATCTGGATGCCCGAGGCTCGGCGGGAGATGGTGGCATAAAACTGGAGAGGGGGCGGCTATCTAATTACCACGCACCATAGCTTGATTCCATATAGCCACTCACTACGAACAGCTAAACTCTTACTTCCACAAAGCTATATATAATCACCACGCTGCTCCAGATCCATGATGTCATGTGCCTTCGCGTCCAGCCTTTTCCCAATTCGGCAATATCGCGCGTCTGCCTGACCAGCCTGTGAGACTATCAACAGCCCTTTCCCACCGCTTGGGCAACCTAGGTGGCTAGCTGTTCTTTTCTTCTCATTACTTTATCTACTAGACACATACCCTTCTTGTCAGTTTCATTATGGCGGAGAAAGAAGCTACCGTGTATATCGTGGACGTGGGGAGTTCCATGGGCGAGCGCCATCAAGGTCGCTCCGTCACAGATCTCGAATGGGGAATGCAATATGTATGGGATCGGATCACTGCGACGGTAAATTCTTCGAGTCCTACTTGTCTGTTGTTCTTCTTACTGATTGTCGTCTAGGTAGCTACTGGACGCAAGACGGCCAATTTGGGAGTTCTCGGGCTACGAACCGATGGTGAGACCCCAGATGTTGATCCACATACAACCAATCTGATAGCCAAGATAGAGACTTCCAACGAGCTTTCCGATGATGTTCACTTTTCTCATATCTCAGTACTTTCAAATATCAAACAGTACGTTGGTTGGGAACTTGGCGCATGACGGTGTCAACTGACATTACCAGATTTCTTATGAGCGATCTACGGAAGCTGGGCGATGACATTAAGCCCAGCAGTACTGACAAAGGAGATGGTAATAGTTTCCAGTGTTCATTTCATTGATTACACCCAGCTTACTCTAGTCAATATACAGCGATCTCCGCGATCATCTTGGCTATTCAAATGATCATCACCCATTGCAAGAAGCTGAAGTATAAGCGGAAGATCGTCTTGATCACCAATGGCCGGGGCCGCATGAACAGCGAAAACCTCGAAGACATCACCAAGAAAATCAAAGAGGATAACATCGAGCTTGTGATTCTGTATGTCGTTTTAGTTCTTCTTCTCCTACTTAGGACTTACGCCCTGCAGAGGAACCGATTTCGACGACTCGGAATATGGAGTCAAGGAAGAAGACAAGGACCCAAGAAAGGTATAACATTTTCTCTTTGCAACCGCTTGTTTCCATTAACAGCTGTAGGCCGAAAATGAGAGTATGCTGCGGAGTCTTGCTGAGGATTGCGATGGTGTCTGTGGGACGCTAGAGCAAGCTGTGTCTGAATTGGAAATTCCCCGAGTGAAAAGCGTCAGGGTGATGGCCAACTTCAAAGGGTTTCTTCAGCTGGGTGACTCGGAAGAATACGACAGTGCAGTCCGCATTCCGGTAGAACGCTACTATAGAACTTACATGGCTAAGCCGCCGTCTGCAAGCTCCTTTGTCCTGCGTTCGGACCTAGGTTCACAACGGGATCAGCCCGAGTCTCATACAACCGCTGCTGCCTCGTCAGATACTTTAGGAGTAGACGAGAGCTCGCTGACATCTGTGAGGCCTCTGCGGACATATCATGTTGCAGACGAAGACGCTCCGGGTAAGAAGGTGGATATTGAGCGAGAAAACCTTGCCAAAGGCTACGAATATGGACGTACTGCAGTCCATATCAGCGAGACTGATGAAAACATCACGATTCTCGAAACATTCGCCGGAATGGACCTGCTTGGATTCATCCAGAGCGATCAAGTACGTCTTCTATACCAATACCACCCATCCCCCATTGTTAACCTCTAGTTAGTACGAGCGCTACATGCACATGTCGACCAGCAATATTATCATCGCGCAGCGTGCGAACGACAAAGCAGATCTCGCGCTCTCATCCTTTATTCACTCTCTCTTCGAATTGGAATGCTATGCCGTTGCCCGTCTAGTATTAAAGGAGAACAAACCGCCTATTCTCGTTTTGCTAGCACCCTCAATAGAGCCGGATTTTGAATGTCTGCTCGAGGTTCAGCTGCCGTTCGCCGAGGACTATCGAGCATATCGCTTCCCTCCTCTCGACAAGGTGGTTACGGTTTCTGGTAAAGTAGTAACTCAGCATCGGAACCTCCCCAATGATGAGTTGCTGGATGCCATGGACAAATATGTGGACAGTATGGAGCTTGTCGATGTGGATGAGGATGGGTAAGGCGAATCTCCTAACCTGGCAGAGGCTGTCTTCTAACCCCGAGCAGGGAGCCCGTGGAGACATTCCCCATCGACGACTCGTACTCCCCTGTCATTCACCGGATCGACGCCGCCATCCGCTCGCGTGCCATCAACCCGCACGAGCCCATACCAGCACCATCTAAACAACTATTAAAGTTCTCCGAGCCACCAGAGAGCCTAGTCGAGAAATCCCAGAACCATCTCAACAAGCTCGTCGAGGTAGCGGACGTCAAGAAAGGTCAGACTCCCTCGCAAGCACACAACCCAAACATACTGACCCCAGCATAGTCCCACCAAAGATCAAAGGCCGCAAGCGCACCCGAGAAACCGAGAAGCCCCTCTCAGGGCTCGACGTCGACGCCCTACTCCACCAAGAGAAACGCACCAAGATCACTCCCAACAACGCCATCCCGGAATTCAAACAGATATTGACCCAAGCAGAGGATCTCGACACCATCCGCGAGGCGGCGAAACAGCTAACGACAATCATCGAGAGCCAAATCCGACACAGCCTCGGCGACGCCAACTACGACCGTGTCAACGAAGGACTAGGCGTCATGCGCGACGAGCTGATCTCGTACGAGGAACCTACACTGTACAATGAGTTCATCCAACAACTGAAAGAGAAGCTGTTGAAGGAGGAGCTCGGCGGTGACCGACGAGAGCTGTGGTGGCTTCTACGGAAGAATAAGCTAGGTCTGATCGATCAGCGCGAGTCTGACCAGTCCAAGGTGACAAGTGCAGAGGCCAAAGAGGTAGGATTCGTCCATCTATAGACGTTATACAATGGTGATAATACTGACTGACAATTCTGCCCAGTTTCTGTCCGCAAATTGAGTTAATCTAAGGGGGTGGGGTACAGGCTAGCACAACACAGATGAGAGAGATACCACTATGAACAATGCCAAATTTGTAGGAATGAATCGTTTGCTCGTTGATGGGTATCCTAAGTGTCCGTAGGGGATGCCGTAAAATGCTGTGCCAAACAAGCTCGCTAAACAGCAAAATCTCTAGTAGATGGATATCAATGAAAATAACAAGGGCCAGCGCTCACGAAATGCGCCCAATCCTCTTCTTGCCTACATCGACCTTTTGGCCCAGCCTAGTCTCACTCAGTCAGCACACGAATAGGAAAAACAAACGGATCGGCAAAATAAAGGAAGTGGAAGAAAGAAGAAAGAAACATACCGTTCAGCATCCTCATCCGCCAACTTCAACAGCTCATTCTGCAGCTCGAGCTCATTATTAATGGCAATACCCAGCTCCTTCTGACGCGTCACGATCTTCATCAATTCGTCGACACTCTGGTCCTGGCTCTCCATCGTCTGCTTCTGCAGCTGCACCAAGCCCTGATTATCCAGCTCGCGCGTCCTCTCCGTCTCCCTGCCCAGCACGCGGCCCGATCGGGCTGGTTTCCGGCCCGCTCCCCCTCCTCCTCCTCCCCCTCCCGCGGCCCCAACAAGGGCCTCTTTATCCTGGATGGACGCGACCGCGCTATCAACCCTGCTCTTAGCCGCCATGGCGTTCAGCAGATCCTCGAGCCCGTCCTTCTCCTTCCGCGCGTTGATCAGCAGGTCCTTCCGCCGACGCATCTCCCCGTCGCCCAGCGAGGGTCCACTACTGCGGTTTGGACCGTCCCCGCTTCCAGACCCAATGTTCTTGAGCCCCGCTTCTAGAGCCCCGATCAGCGTGCCGGCTCGCACGAGGCTGCTCTTCGCGCGAGCGGAACTCTCGTGCTGCTTCTGCGGCGTCGTCTCCTGATCGCGGCGCGTGAGGTGCAGTCTAGCGTCGTGTAGGTGCGACTTCATGTCCCGGTAGCAGTCTAGCCACAGCGTTGGGTCCGAGATGGGGGCTCCTGCGGCGCCGGGGTCTGTGATGGCGGCGTGCAGGCGGGCGGAGGTGTTCGGCGCGCCGCGGCCGTTGGTGGAGGAGGAGGTAGTGGTTGTTGCTGCTGCGGCGGCGCTGGGGAGATTGAGAAAACCGCGCCAGGCGGGCGAGTTACGCCATTTGGGGTCTTCGGTGTCGTTGATGGCGCGGAGGTAGGTCTCTAGGGCTAGGCGGCGGTCTTCGCGGAGGGAGGCGTTGGAGACGGTGCTGGAGAACCAATTTTTGGAGGGGAGCGAGGCGGGAGGAGCGCTGTTTGTTTGGGTGAGGAGGGTTTTGTGGAAAGAGACGAAGTCGGAGTAGCGCTTGGAGAGGGTGAAGGAGCGGAGGGGGAGACGGAGGGTGATGTTGTAGATTGTGTAGGCTGGGGTTGTCGGTGAGATGCTGGTTGTTGGAATGGAGATCTCGAGACTGGGTGCCATGTTGGAGTTATTGTTAATGTAATTATTCCACGGGACAGCAGTGTCCCATGGGCAAAGAAGATTGTGAGAGGGTAATGTGAGGGGATGAGGAGGAAAGAGAGAGAAGAGAAGCGATGACGAAGTGAGGCCGAAGTGGATCACTTGATAAGGTCACGGTATATTGACTATACCCGATCAGTCTTAGTTCTTGGTTCGATATCGGCTCAACGGTCACAATTCAAGATTCAACCTCTGATAGCTTTTCATAGGTTCTGGATTATACATATGGTGATATATACAATATTGTGTCTATAAGCCTCATGAGTTATTTGATCTACAGAAGGTTGAGTGGATGATGTCATCGTCGTTATCAGTGGTCAATTATCTCTCAATGCTAGTCATGAGTTGAATAGCTTCAGTCACTAGCTAATGTTGCATATCGGCAAGGATTCGTCATGGATTGGAGTTCCTAGGCTCCTGGTATCATTATTTTTCATGTACATACACAAACAGGGTAGAATGTTCATATTCAGCCCCCCGTTATTCTCCTCACATGGATGTGCTCCACATCTCCCGAGCCCCCAGCAAGTCCCGCTGCCCGTAGAATTCTCCCACAACGGTGATAATCATGTCCAGCATGGCGCGCGTCTGTGTGGCAGCTTCCATTGGATCGCAGTCATCTCCTGCCGGTGACTCGTTGCGAGAGCTGGTCGGATCGCTCGGCGAATCCTGCGCAAGTCCGTTTAGTCTTGCCTGTAGGCGTGCCTTGGCAACTTCGAGACCTTCGCCTGAGGGATCCTCTTCTGCATCTGGCATATCCTGATCAAGGCCGGCGGTTTTCGTATTTCCATCTGTCTCTTCTTCCACAGGAGCGGCCCCGTCATCCGCTGGCTCCTCGTCGGATTCATCCGCTGACACATCTCCTGCTGCTTCTACCTCCGCCTCCTCCTCCCTCATCTTGCTCAATATCTTAGTAGAGCGCTTCCCTAAGTCTCGGATCTCCGCGACCTCGTCGGTTCCCAATTGTCCTACCTCGCGACACTTGGCTAGGAGACCCCACGCCCAGGCACCGATACGCCGTATGCGCGCCGCGTCGCCGCTCCGCACGTTCTCTGACATCAAGCGTCCCATAATTCCCAACACACCGAGTACACTGTTCATGTCCATACATGCCAGCTGCGCTGTTTGCGGGTCCACGGCCAGTAACAGACGGCGCCACTCGCGACATGCATTCTTTGAGTGTCGGGGTAGGGTAATCGGATGCGAGTCGTCGAGGGTTGTGATAGCGGATGACGGTGGTGTACATTTCAAAATGGAGCGGAGGAGGAGGAATCGGTGATGTAGGAGGTTGTAATAACTCGCTTGCGCGTCGGAGAATGTGGTTTTGTCCGGTGACGCTGCTAGGGTAGCGGGTGTCGCTGTCGTGGTGACAAGTATTTCGTCTTTTTGGGTTATTTTTTGGATAATCTCTACTTCTTGTTCGTCTTTGTCGGGTCGTTGTAACTCCGCGGCAGATGTGGCATCGCGTTGCGTCTCCGTTTCCTCTCTCCGGGGCGCAGTAAATAGGAACGGTAACGAGTTTGCTTCCGACCTAGAAGTATTCCATCCTTAATCAACCATCTTATCTCAAACCTTCGCGGGAAATGGAATATCGCAGGCTAAATGGAAAACAAGCAACGCAGGCGTTTAGCAAGCGGGTGGCCACAGTACATGAAGTTGATGCAGGTAACAGAAAAAAGAGAAAACCAGCTTACCGGACCATGCGAAGATATTCCAAGCCATCCTCAGCCGGGCCGTAAAACAACTCATCATCTCCCCCCGTGTCGAGGCCCGGAAAGGCACTCTTTTGCCCGTAGAAAGGATCGTTGCGTGGGCGTTCGTGCGCCGGCCTGCCGGAGTGGATTCCTTCTTCGTCATCGTCGTCGTCGGCGTAGGATGAACGTGACCGTTTACTCTGCATAGGCGGCCGTGAGAAAGAGCCGGAAGGCTTTCGTTTGTCGGGCATGCTGGCCATGGAAGTAGGGAGGAATGAGATTGTTGTCGGTCCTCGCAAGGTGGAGAAAAAGATGACTGCGATATCCAAATGGAGCAGCTTCGGGAGCTTGGGCCATCTGCGTATGCACATCGTACCTGATTATGTAATTATGTACACAACTGATTTTCTTTTCTAGATATCAGATCTCATCACACACTACCTCTCAGTAATACTGTCGATCACATAGCCCGGATAGACAGAAGAATCTATGAGCGTCTAGAGCTAAAAATAGGCTACTGGGGTGTACAGTGGTGTTCCTGGGAATTTGATAGCGCATATACTCGTCCTCGGACGCTACACAGCCCTGCAAAGCCATATTGTATATTAGGATATTATGTAGAGAAATTTTAACAGTAAGTTGTTCCCAGTATATTGCTTGTAGTCTTTGGTTTGAAGAAAGCATTTTTCGTGAAAGGTTCGATCAGTCCCGTATTAACAATCAGTAAGCTCCACAGGGGAAATAGCCCCGTAGTCTATAAATATGATTATGTACATACTCATGTGCGGTCATTCTCTACCTACTATGTAGGTGATATAAACTTTCAGTGCGCACCAATGCCAATCTGCCATTCTGTGCAGGTTGGCGCCCGACCGACATGGCGCCGATGGCTCTATACCTGGCGCCTTTGATGTCTGATATATGCATAGGCGGGCGCAAGAGGGCCCTGCAGGCACTGTGGTTGCATGCAGTTCGCAGGGACGACATCCTCACAGCCTCGACTGACATCACGAGGGCGGATTCACATCAAGGACGACCTCGCACCCATCCCACCCAGCCGAGGTTATCGAATTCGCATCGCAGTCGGTAAACCGAAGACTCAACCAATCCGCTGCTTTCGCCGTACCCAGACCTCCTGCTCGGGACTTTCAGACTTCTCACCCGTCGAATTCTTTGCATCTCGCAGCTGAACCTCCCAAACCTTAAGCTTGTAGTTCCCACGATCAGCCACCCCAGAATGGATATCAAAAGCCCATCCATGCTTAGGACAAGTAATCCCCGCACTAAGCGTGATACCGAAATCCTCAATATCAAAGAGATTCCCCTGCGACAGCGGGAACGACGAGTGCGGGCATTGCTGTTTTCACCGTTCAGTAATTAGGATCTAGATGTGTTATCGCGGGGTGTCAAACAACCCACATGGTCAATGGCGTGGAATTTCCCCTTGTATTTGAATACGAGGACTTGGTCTTTTAGGTCCGCGTGGCTGTCGAGATCTGCCTCTACGGGCGCTTCGGGCCTCGAGGGGTCGTCTTTCTGGGGGATGTGGAAGGCTTTGCATCGGGGCGCTATTCGATAGGCGTCTTTGTCTAGACTGAGGTCGGGGAACGCTGAGGCTAGGCCTACTGGTCGCCAGCCTACGTCCGCTTGTCGTCTGAATGGATTTATGCTTATGTTCATGTTGCGAGGTGCTGCCTAAGACGGCGCTGGGGATGTTTTCTATTTTAACAGGTAACAGGAGTAAGAGTGAGTAGAAGTAGTGCTATGTTGACGAGCCCCGTTCCATGATTATTTTTCAGCGATGCCTCGGATCTTATGTAATCGGATAAAGGTCTCGGCCGCATTACTCTATGAGATGGACTCTGGACTATTATGGTTGTATGTTCAAATGTCCCGTTAATTTTCTTTTAATCCATGCAGATATCTAGTTTATTCCACATCCTATCTACGGAGATACGCTTAAGGACGCAGACGCTGGGGGTCACGCGGGAACAACGAGGCCAACCGGATGTTAGGCAGTCCCAAGAAGAACATGACAATGCGGTTCAGGCCCAGACCACCACCGGCGTGGGGCGGACAGCCCTGTCGGAAAGCATTCAGGTAGTCCTCGAAGCCCTCCTGGTGCGGGTTGAGACCCTTGGCGGTCATCGACGCCTCCAGCTCCTTGATGTCGTTGATACGCTGAGCGCCCGACATGATCTCCTCGCCGCGCATGAAGAAGTCATACGAGTTGGAGAAGCGCGCATCCTGGGGGCACGCCTTGGTGTAGAAGGGTCGCACGGCCATCGGGAACTTGTCCAGCACGTAGAAGTCGGTGTCGTACTTGTCGCGGATGATCTGGCCCAGCTGCTTCTCCATCGCCGTCGAGAAATCGTTCTCGAAGCGCTCCTGCTCCGACACGTCGACGCCGGCCTCTTTCAGCAGTGCCACACCGTCCATGTAGTTCAGGCGCAGCGCCTTGCCATCCTTGGGCAGCTTGAAGTCACCCGCGTTGGGGTAGGACTTCTGGATGACGGCGATCTGATCCTTGTAGCGCTCCTTGAGCTGGGTGAGGATGAAGACGAGGAGGTCCTCCGCGAATTCCAAGACCTCGTGGTAGTGGTTTCGGAAGGTCTTTTCGAAATCGAGACCGGCGAACTAGAAGAGAAAAAACAGTCAGTCTCGGGGAAGGATAGGAAAGAGCGAGCGAACTTACCTCCGTCAGATGGCGGTGGGTGTTGCTGTCTTCCGCACGGAAAACGGGGGCAATCTCGAAAACGTTCTCCATGTCACCGGCAATACAGATCTGCTTGTACAGCTGAGGGCTCTGCGCCAGGTATGCGTTCCGCTTGAAGTACTTGACCTCGAAGACACCGCTACCACCCTCCGTGGCGGCCCCCACCAGCTTGGGGGTGAAGATCCACCGCGATCCACTCTTGATCATGTACTCGGAGAACAGCTCCGCGACGGCGCTCGAGATCCAGGTGATAGCCTGGCTGGTCTCGGTCTGGAGGTCAAGCACCCGGTTGTCGAGACGGGTCTTGAGGGTGACGATCGGGGCGCCCGACTCATCAACCTGGAAGCCCTCCTCGGTCGTCTCCGGGGGCGGTCTCTCGGCGTCCTTGACCTGCATGGGGAGCATCTGGGCCGCCTCGGAGATCATGTAGACCTTCTTGATGTGAACCTCGTGGTTGCTCAGCGACGCGGAGGCGATCGGGACGTCGGGCTTCTTGACGATACCGGTAACCTGGACGATCGAGTTGACGTTCAACCCACCCGTGTACTTGATCATCTGGCGCGAGATGGGCTCCGCGGCCGCGATGACAGCCTGCAGCTTCAGACCCTGCTGTCGCAGCATCAGGAATGCCAGCTTCGCACTCTGGACACGGGCGTTGTCCACACGGGCCACCAGGGTGATCTCCTTCTCGTAGTATTCGTCATTGATCTCGGTGAATCGCGTCGCGGGGAGGACGTCTTCACTCTCGGGGAGAGGGCCGTACAGGTCCTTGGCGGTGTCGTTGGCGTCGGCGGCAGCGGCCTGAGCTTTCTCCTGGGCAGCGCGAGCGGCGGCCTTCTCGGCCTTGGCCTTCTCCTTTGCGGCCTTCTTGGCCGCGTTCTTGCTGGCGCTCTTGGTCTGCTCCGCGCCCTCGGCGGGCTGCTCGGCGGGGGTTTCCTCCGGCTTGGGGCGAGTGGGCAATCCGGCGTCCGCCATGGTGATTATGTGAGATGTGTTGGGTGTGCAGAAAATGTGGGGACGGAAGACCGCAGAGGGATGGGCGAGGGCAATGGATGGGCTGTTATCCTCGAAGCTCACTTCGTTCGTCCGTCCGAACAACTTCGACTCACGCCCCGTGACCCCGCCGGATGATTCACATGCCCTAAGCCCTAAGAGGGGTTTAAGTCACGTGTGTGATTGTTGCCTGAGGTATGATTTGGTGGACAACTGGTTGGAATATTATGAATGTGACTAAGCGCTATGGATGCCGTTATGCCGCTGCATAAAACACACTCCAACCCTAACTTTTCCATACTCCGATATCCATCGTCCAGATGGGATACAGCCTGAAGTTTGCCCGTATTCGACTAGTGGTTTTACGCTAAGTGCCGATCTCCTAAAAGCAGCGGGGCTCAATGGACGCCTAGGGAGGCGCCGAGGAAATTAGGGTCAGTCGTACTCCCTATCCTGGTGAGCAGAACCGCAAAGCATTGTCCGATCAACAATCCCATTGTCTGATGGAAAGGGCTAGACTCACACCTTCTACACCTAGGTTAAACCCATACTCTCTGCACCAATAATGGCTTTCGACGGCCAAACAGTCCTCATAACGGGGGGTAACAGCGGCCTTGGATACGAAACGGCGCGCCAGTGTCTGATTCTCGGCGCGAAACGAGTGATCATCGCCGTCCGCAGCGTCGCCAAAGGCGAAGTCGCTGTAAAGGGACTTGAAGACGATCCCAGTGTGCGGGAAGCCAACAGTAGTGCGGCGATTGAGGTATTCGAGCTGGATCTCGACGATTACCAGTCGACTATCAGGTTTGCGGAGAAGGTCAAACGGGATGTGCGCGAGCTGGATGTGCTTCTCTGTAATGCGGGGACTACGATGGGAGATTATGAGACCAGTCTCACTGGTCATGAGAGGGTGATGCAGGGTGAGTCTTACAGATACATTCATGTAGCAAGGTATATACTATAGTATATACTCTACTCCGTCGTTATCCCCGATCTCCAAGTAACCTCAAAACATAACAGTCAACTGCTACTCGCACTTCCTCCTCACCCTGGAGCTTCTCCCTCTGCTGCGCGCGACAGCGCAATCTCGACAAAGACCATCCCGCCTAACGATGGTTGGATCGTACTCCCAAGCCAGCCACTCGCTGACCGAGAGGCCCATCCCAGACGGCACATCAATCGTCGACCATCTTGACAACCCAGCCATCCACATCCGGTTCCGCCAGTACCAGAACAGCAAGCTGATCATGAATGCATTCGTCCAGCATCTGGCTACTTTAGTACCAGTGACCGACGTCATCGCTAATGTAGTCTGTCCTGGTGTGCTGGACACGAACTTCTTTGACGACTTTCCGCTGTGGCTGCGGGCGATCATGTTTGTCTGGCGCAAGACGCTGGCGCGGTCAGCTCAGGATGGAAGTGACTCTTTGGTTTATGCGATGAGGGGCGCTGAGAGTGACTCGCATGGGAAGTTCCTTTCGGAGGGTCAGATTACTTGGTTTGTCTACCGTGGTTCTCGGGTGGATGTTCATGGACTAATATTGCATAGTGGTGCCCCTTTGCTTGACGGCGCAGATGGAGAGGCATTCTCACGGCGTGTTTGGACAGATGTTTGTGCGGATCTCAACAAGGTCGCGCCTAATCTACAACTTCCGACTATCGACTGATCTCAATCATGATGATATTCTTGTACTCTGCTCTTTCAGGGGAAACATCGGTGAATTGGTATATCTGGTTAAGAGGGACTGGTCTAATATGTATATAATGCAACATTCTTCACCCGTATCCATGCAAACGCTAGCTTGTCGCTATATAGCGCTTCAATTTTTGGAGGCGTTCCATTGGGACGACTTCAAGCCATACTCCACCGCCCGAAGCACATTGTCCTCGGTGGTCTCCGGGACCCACGTGGGCTCCCCACCGCTATAGACCCCCGTCCGTACGAGGATCGAGTGCCACTTGCTGCCATGGCGGCTTCGATAGGTATTGGCGCCGCAGATGTCGGATTCCGGGTTGTCACCCACCATGTACACATTCCGAATCGGCGGGAGCGAGTCCGACTTGAAAGTCCGGGCGCGGTTGCGCAGGAGTTGGTTTTCAGCATATTCATACGTCCCTTGGTAAGGTTTCCCGATGACGGTCTTCTTCAGCTCGACCCCTTTGCTGGGCCCACCGGTGACCCCGGCCCACACTCCGTCCAGGGCTTCGCGGAAGCCGCCTTGGCCCAGGCGAGGGAGGTGGTACGCCGCCGCCCACCACAGATCGGGGTTGGAGAAGTACAGATGCGGTTGGCCGTCCTGCAGGAACCCGTGGTTGGGGAGGTCGGTGCGGCCGTTCTTGTCGGAGACGCTTCCCATCACGCCCTGGGAGGACAGCAGGACGTCCATGATAACCTGCGTGTCCAGAGCCCAGTCGCGCGGGTCGTTGAAGACAAAGATGGCGTCGATTTTCAGGCCTTTGGTGGGATCCTTGGGGTCTCGCGGGTTGGGCAGCGGCCGGGCGAAGGTCTCGTAGTAACTCTTGAAACCCTTGGCGAAGGGCCAGATGGATGGGTTCGCCATGAAAATGTCGCCGGGGGTCACGACGTTCTTGAAGCCGTATCTACGCCGGGGTCAGCAATCGCTCGTGCTTTGTTGATCTAGACATACTGTTCTGCCACCTGGCGACAACGATCACCGTCGCCTCCCACGACCATCACACACTTGTTCTCCAAAGATTCTTGCTCGTTCCGCCCGCGCACCAATTCCGCAAAGGGCGAATGGCTCTGTATGATGACTGAAGGGTCCAATGGCACCTGGAGCTTTTCGCTGATCTCCGCCACCCTCTCCGTTTCATGTTTCCCGCCGCCGTTGGTTAAAAGAATGAAGGGAATGCCTTGGTTTTGGAGGATGTTCAATGACTCCGCCGCACCGGGAATGGGTTTGGACGATCGGAGGAGGACGCCATCGATGCTGCATGGTGTCAGCAATGGCTTTGCCAAAGTATGAGATCCCACAAGACGACATAATACTGTTATATTCGGAAACAATATGACAAGAAGAATGACTCACTCAAAAGCAAAGGCAAAGTCGGGGATCTGAGGCGCGGAACTGAAGGCACGGCGACCGTGGCTCGTAACAAACGGACGGACGTAGGCGCGCTGCAGCAATCCAAAGGGGCGCCAGAGAGATTGAGGACGCATGGTATTCTATTTATCTAGCGGAAGTTAATTACCAAGAGATGGGAGGAGAAACCATGTAAACAAGACGATCGACGATGTTGGATAGGACACGATGGAGTTGAAGATCAAGGCAAGTTGGCGGGAAGAGCGGGTGATATCATCGTGTATAAATAGCCCCGTTCCTTATCGATAAGTCCGTCATTTCTTCCCCTCTGGGATCTTCTCGTCTTTTCTTTCTCCACAACAACGAGTCAACCCAAGGCGAACATCATGGATACTTCTCTCGAATCGTCCATCCACTTCTAACCTGTCCAATTCTTTATCCACCACCCCCGGTCGATCCTACAATGGCATTCCCCACCCCGATCGCCCGCCATGCCGAACTCAATCTATCTCCCCACAGAAATCGTCGTGCTCATCGTGTCCTTGGCCGCCGGATCCTCCGATGAGACACAGCGCCAAAGCACTCTCTACGCATGCTGTCTGGTCTCCCAACAGTGGTACTCGGCAGCAGTGTCGTTTCTCTACAGGAAGCCTCGGCTGAAAACCGGCCGGTCGTTCGCGAAATTCACCCGGACGGTCGCGCCGCCGCTCGGCGAGCGAAAGAGCAAGCTGAACCTGGGAGAATTTGTCCACCGGTTGGATCTGGGCAGCCTCGTGCACGAGAGCAGCAAGAGTCTGACAGCACGGCTCCTGGGCCGCATCAAGTCCAACCTGGAGTCCTTCGTGGCCCCCAGTCTCTCCTTCTCGTCAGTGGCCATTTGCCCAACCGACAACAATCAATCTCCATCCCACTGACGCCAATTCTACTCTACAAACAGACTCAACAGTCTTCCCGCATTATCAAAATGTTCCAACCTGCACTACCTCGACCTCTCCCTCGTCGGCGACCCCATCCCCTTCACCAACCTCAAAAAAGCCCTCAACAACCTTCCCAAGCTCACCACAGTCCGCCTCCCCCGCTCAACAAACCTCACCGACCTCTCCCCGACCTCCCAATCGATCCCCTGGCCCCCGCGCCTCCATCGCCTCCAGCTCAGCGGCCGTTTCTCCCCCTTCACAATCCCCACCTTCGCCTGGCCCCCATCCCTCACCAGCCTGACCCTCAAAAACTGCCAAGACCTCACAGTCGACCACATCGGCAGCCTGATGAGCAGTCCCCAGCTCGGCCGCACCCTCAAACGGCTCACCATCTCCTGCGCAAACCGCGGCCTCCACCCAGAATCCATCAACGCCGTCCCGGCCTTCCTCCCAGACCTCACCTACCTCTGCGTCCCCGGCGACCTCGTAGACGACATGTTCTTTGAGCTCCTATCCGACAAAACGCACCCCATCGCCCTCCAAGAACTCGTCTTCGACCACCCCTTCAGCGACCCGGAGCTGGCCTTCTCCACGCAAGCCCTGATCGCTGCCTTGCATGCGGGACTGGTGAATCTGCAAAATATAGGCTTCGCGGAGCGCTTCTGCACCGACGAGCGCATTATAGCCGACGAGGAGCTCGATACTATTCTGACCGAACGGGCTCCGTCTGGCAAAGATGACGTTGTATGCGGTGTGTATTATGTGTAATGAGTTGTTTTTCATATATACAATTATAGACATTGCATCTACCAACAGGCCTTGAGACGGGCCATGATATATGTACATATATTGATGAATTACGTGACCTGTATGAACCAAGTACGATTCTTATATGTTGACTGGGCATCTCCTGTCAAATTGTCAGCAAAACAGTCAACAATGGCCTAGTCAAGAGGATAAGAGGACGATTAGTATATGACACAGGAAATCAATTCCCTCTACATCTATTACAATATCAAGACACTCACTCACTCCTCATCAAGAACAAGAAAGAAAAAAAAAAAAAAAAAAACGTCCTGAAGTGCTTACATAAATATAGTTATGAAAATAATATTGAAATTGGAAATCTTTATAGCTGAAAAAGTAAAGAAACAACAATGCGAAGACAAAAGGCAAACCACTCAAACTTCAAAGTCAAAGTCCAATCGCATAGATATAACCAGGACTCATCTCGACAAAAACATAATAAAATAAATAGATAAAAAAGGATCAAAAATAGGGGGGGATAAGGTAAAGAAAAAGAAAAAAGAAATAGTTATGCGCCTCCTAACAAGACAAGACAGACATGTTCTCCATTAACATCAATTTACAGTTTGACTCGCGCGCAACCCCCATGCCACACACCAATCCATCGTTTTCTTCTTTTTTTTTTTTCTTTAATGGAAATTCTAAGTAAGAGATGCGATGACTGCCGCGGCGACACCTTCTTCCTCGGCCCGGACGGTGATCTTCGTTGTGACGCCCGTCTTGCTGGAGAAGGCCATCTTGATGAGAGCGGTCACGCGACCGCCTGTTACTGTCTTGCCGAACAGTTTGAGCGCGTGCGTGCTGTTGCTGAGGGGGACGTCGGTGCCTTCGAGTGGTTGCAGGGAGAGCGTGGAGATGAGTTGTTCGGTGGCGTCTGTTGTATATCATTAGCCTCGGGACGGTAAAACAAACAGAAAGAGAGAAGAAAAGAAGGGGAGGGTGGGGAAGACATACCTGAAATGCCCTTCATGTTGCTCAGCTGGAGGGTCTCGCTGAGTTCCTCGCCATTCGCACCGGTCTGCTCCCAGACGTGGTCGAAGCTGCCGGCGAAAGTCGGGATCACGTAGTCGCTTCCGGTCAGCTCCAGATCTTCCACCTGGTACTCGTCCTCGTAGCCCTCTTCCTCGGCCTCCCCGGTGGTGGGGTCGATCTCCTTGCTGGTGAACTTGAGGTGATTCGTGATCGAGGTGACGGGAACGCTGTGCTCGCCATCGACCTTCTTGAACGTCACGTATACAATGCCCGGCTCGTTCGTGGCCAGCTTGGGGGCGGGGACGATGAACTCCTCCTCCAGGACCTCTTCCTCGGCGGGCGACGCGACGACGGTCACGTCTTCTAAGACGGTGTCGGGGAGAGTGTTCTTGATATCGTACTGCACCACGATGTGCTCCTTGAAGATGTGCTTGACGGCCGTGACCACGTACTCGGTCTCGCTCTCGGTGAGCTCCACGGGGACCGAAGACTTGAGCAGGGTGCCGTATTCCTTGAGCTCGGGGATCTGCATGAGCTGCTCGGCGTACTTCTGGGTGGCCGCCGCGGTGGCGGCCTCGGCCACGCCGTTGGCCTTGCTCTTGGGAGGGCCAGTGGACGGGGCCTTGAGCGTGGGCGTGGCGGTCGTGAGCTTCTTGGTGCGCTCTTCGGCCAGAGCCTGCTCCTGGGTGACGACGGGGATCGTTGCCATATCGAATGCGGTGGCAAAGTTCTCCTTCTCGCCCGAGGTCACGTACATCACCAGCTGATGCTCGAACGTAGACAGGGAGAACATCGAATCTGCGGCGGTCAGCTTACATGAATGTCTCTCCGGGAGGAGGTTGAGACTCACCATTCTTGATGAAGCGGTTCGCCATCTCGTCCTCTTCGGCCATCAAGCGGAGGTTGAGCGCAGCACGGTCGCGGACCTCATCATCCGTATCATCCAGGCACCGGCTGAGCAGGACATGAACGCTCGACTTCACTTCGGGATCTTCCTGGCCGACGCCGAACTTGGCCAGGGCGGTCACGGCAGCGGCACGGACAATGGCATTCTCCAGCACCACCCGGTTGTAGATATAGCGGATATATTTGGTCGGGTGGGAAGTCTTGGGACCTTCCACACCGAGGAGATGGAGAACCCGGACGGACAACTTGGTGAACTCGCAGTCCTCGATGAACTCGCACAGATGGGCGAGCGCTGGATATTAGATTAGCTGGCAGATTCATCTCCAACAAAGAAGAGGAAAATAACATACCATCTTCCTTGCTGTCAGGAACGAACTTGATCAGATCAAACATGCTCTCCACAACGCTCCGCTTGAATTCGTAGCCGCCCTCGTCGCGCAAGATTCCACTGAGGAACGAGAGCATGCCGGCCTGCTTGCTGGGGAACTTCAAGCACAGGGTGCGGATGGCCTCGACGATGGTGATCTTGAACTCATCGGTAATGTCGGCCATGAAGCCCGAGATCTGCTTCATCAGGCGGTCGACGCTGGCCTCGTTGCCCGTCTTGAGCAGGGTGGTGATGGCGAAGGTGGCGATCGAACGGTTCGAGTTGGAGATCAAAGACTCAATGTCGGGGTTGCACACATTAACGACATGCGGCTTGAAGGAGGCGAAGTTGTGGAGGATGCGGATGGCGGCAAACTTGGTGATGGCCCGCGGGGAGGACAGGAACAGCTGCAGGACGTGGACGGCCTGCGAGGCCTCGGCGTCGGAGACGTCCCGCATGTCGCAAATCGCCTTGGCGGCCTCGAAGTTGACCATCTCATGCTTGTGTCGGAGCCAGCCATCAAGCATCTGCATCATCGGTTTCCTCAGGCCCTGGTCTTCCTCGGCCAGCTTGGCCGCTAACCGCACCAGGAGCACCAGCGCCGCGGGGCTCTTGACGACGCCGGCGGCGCCGTACTGCTGCACCATCTTCACCAACGCCATGCGATCGTGGGCGCGCATCTGGTACAGGAGGCCGATCGCGTGGTACTGGGTCATGAAATTCGACTGGGAGATGGCATGGGGTTGGGCGCTGCCACCGAAGCCCAGGAAGCCGGTCGACTGCTTCGAGGACGAGGCGGCCTCCTGGGTCTCGCTCTGCCACCGACGGACCACATCGCGCGCAACGGGGAGGAGATGATAGGAGGAGACCAGGGCGGCGGAAGAAACCGAGGGGGTCTTGTCCACGATGGCGGTTTTGATCAGTCGTTCAATCGCTTGCACCGTGGTTCCCTATCACGTCATGCCTCCGCGTCAGCTCTTCCACTCAATTGACTAGGAATTAAATCTCAGCGCAGAGATCATACATCGATAATACGGCACAGGGCACGGATGGCGTTGGCTCGGTAGAGAACATCACTCCCGACAGCGGTATCCTTCATGATGATACTGGTCGACATGATCACATCCTCGGCAGTCCCGGCGAGGTCCTTCAGGATGAGGTAGACCATCTGTCTCAGCGAGGGATCCTTGTTCTGGAACAGCTTGGAGATTCCGAAGAAGAGCGTCGTGGCCTCATTTGTGGGGAACCGCTCGCCGGTGAAAAGGAGGACCGCGATCTTGGTCAACAGGGTACGGCATTGTCGGGGGGAAATCGGCGAGGTATTAAACAATCGAGCTGTATTACACGAAGACCGGAATATATTAGCTATCATCTGAAGAGGGAGCTGCGCGGGGGGGGGGGGGGGGGGGGGGGGGGGGGGGTGGGGGGGGGGGGGGGGGGGGGGGGGGGGGGGGGGGGGGGGGGGGGGGGGGAGAGGGATTGGCCGGGGAGAGGGGGGAGCAAGACGACTCACCATCTTGAAATACGGAGGTCCGATCCAGCTTGATCATAGTCTGGTCGGCATCCTCATCCTTCTTCATGTAACTCATGATGACCGGCTGCAAGAATTGCCGCAGCAGAGGCACACGCAATCAACAGCAATCCGACGGGAGTAGAAAGGAGGGAGCCCTGGTCGGGGAAGGTAGGAGGGTAGTATGGGGGGGGGAGGAGTCGAGAATAAGGGCGGGCGGGCCAGACTGGAGCAGGTGTGTATAATAAAAGGGTTGGGATTGGGATTAGTTTCGCAGGCGGTGTAAACGACTACCGCGGCCTCATTATCCTTCCAGAAGGAGAAATGAAGCAGGATCGAGGAATAGGAAGGAGAATCAAGAAAGAGAACAAGTCTGAAGCCAATGCAAGAAGAGCGAATGAACAGGGGAGAAGGTCGAACGAAGAGAAACAACAACAATAATCTGAGTCCAGGTGGCCTCAGCCTGCAATCTGCCCGTGTTTTCCGCTTCGGGAAGCTGTGCTCCAGCCACGACGCCACACCTCACCGCCTGTGGCTGAACCAGATAGACAAACAGGGCAAACATGCGGCATGCATCATCATCATCATCATATCAGACAGCTTGACAAAGAACATCCCCCCTCTGAAGTCAACTATACAATTTACAACTCGGATCCTTTTTCTTCTCAATTGACGCTCTATACCAGCAACATGCAAGTCGAAGTCGACCCCACCGAAGACACTGAGTGGTTCGTACCCCCTCCCCCCTCTACCCCTCCATCTTTCCCCCCTAATGAAATCATATACTCACTATCAATAGGAATGACATTCTTCGCTCAAAGGGCATCATCCCCGAAAAGCCCCAGGACCCGGAACCCCTCATTCAGGAAGCTCTCGTCGAAGCCGAGCGCAAGGCCTACGAAAACCGTCTCGAAGACAAAGACCTCGACGAGTTGGACGAGCTCGAAGACGAGGAGGATGAGGCTTTCTTAGAGCAATATCGGTATTGTTTCCTCTGAATTTCCTATATCATATCTAGTATATGACAATACACCAAATGTGAACGGCGAGACTAACAGGCGGGCTGAACAGGCAAAAACGCTTCGCCGAACTCTCCACGCTCCAAAAAACCTCCGTCCACAACCAAGTCTACCCGCTCCAGAAAGTCGACTACGGCCGCGAAGTGACCGAGTCGTCCCAAAAGACCTTCGTGCTCGTCAACCTGACCTCCTCCGCCAGCCAGAACGTCGAGTCCCGCCTGCTGACCGAGCTCTGGCGCCAGCTGGCGCAGAAGTACGGCGACCTCAAGTTCTGCCAGATCCGTGGGGATATGTGCATTGAGGGGTATCCGGACCGCAATACGCCGACGATCTTGGTGTATAAGGATGGGGAGATCAGGAAGCAGATGGTTACACTTAAGGAGTTGGGGGGTGTGAGGACTAGGTTGGAGGGTATGTCCTTTCTTTCTTTTTTTTTTTTTTCTCCATACATTCTTTTCCTTTCCTTCATACATCCACGGCTGGAAATAAAGAAAAAGGGCAAATAATTAACGAATGATACAGACCTCGAAAGAATGCTTCTCGACCTAGGCGCCATCAAAGAAAGCGACATGCGTCTGAAAAAAGACGCCGACAGCGACGACGAAGACAACCACCCCAACCGCCTCCGTCCTAGCAAAAACCCCAAGCCTGAGGTCGAAGATTACGACGACGATTGGGATTAGACAAGACACGACATATACACTCAGAGAGAGAGAGAGGATGAAGTGTTGTACACCATGAATACTACCTACCTACATACTACTACCCACCCACCTACCCCTTGTGACGAACTCAGATTCCAGAATCAACCGGATTTGATATCCCTTTTGGTTGTATCTTTTTCTTCATTCTGTATTTTTGTTCCATTCTGGTTTTGCTCTCATTTTGGACGTCATCTACTGTTGTTACGGAAAGCTTAGTCTGGGACTTAAGGAAGTTGTCATCAGGCGGGTTGAGGTCATTCCACAGGCATTGATTTGTACAGTTGAACAATGAAATGAACTTTTTGTTAATTTTGGACTAACACAAACCACCTGGACTGCTCAATTACTTCATACGAACTACGTACTACATCTACATCTACATTACATGTTAAATTCGATTGGGAAAAATGATGCAGATGTATTGTATGGGACAATATTCAAGGGAGCAGCTCGCAGGCTCGACCGTCGGGTCGTCCGACGGTCTCACCAGCGTGCAGTCACCAAGATACCACCCCCATGCACATTCAAAGACGTTGCGATTGAAATCACGCGAGAAAACACAACATTGGACGCATTACTACCACCCCGGAAGCGACCCTAGCCAGTTTCCGTCGCCAAGCTACCCTACCCACACGTCGAGGACCCTCTGCACCCCTCAGATCACCGCTGATTGCCCATGGCCCGCGTAACGGTCGACCATCCGTGTCCCCGTGGTGGGAGACAACAGCAATTCTCACGCGAGACCTCCGAGAATGAAAAGTAAAAATCAAGGTTCGTCCTTCGACATGCCCACACCGTCGTACCCTCGTACTCATCTCCCCCTTCAATGCATCACAAGCCAAAAAACAAGATGGAAAACAAACAAACAAAAACAAAACAAACAGGCACGTAAAGAAGGGAGAGGAAGATCGGCGAACGAGACGGTCCGAACTAACTGGGCGGTGGAAAAGAATCCAAGGCCAAACGGACAGCCGCGAACAATCTCGTTCGCCGACAGACTGTTTCAATTTTGCATCTCCTTCCATCTGGCTCCCCCGGCTGCTGGGCAAAAAATAAAAGTGTCGGAACTAGCATCGAGTCCGAGTGCCGCACCAGCATCCGGAAAAATCCAGACGTAACATAGCCATCATTAAAAGCGTTGTGAAACTGCCATCAAAGCTCCTTCTGTGCGATTGACGTACCCAAAGATCTGGATCGTACGAATCTCTCCCAACGCAGATCAACCGAACCAAGTCCAGCCAATCAAACGAGAAGGATCTTTCACAAGATCGACAGAGGAGCGAGGCGAGTCAGGACAATAACGCGGCGGATCGAAACGGCGAAAACCGGGAGACGATCGAAAACGGGGCTAATGGGCTAACAGAGAATGCAGGGGGGAAAGGAAACAAGGAAAGTGAAAAGAACATAGAAAGGAGAAGGGAAGGGATAGACCCAAGGCAAGGATAAATGTCCGAAAAGGTTTGCTGCAGGCGGCGAAATAAAAGGTGGGCCAGTCGAATGAGGAATGAGGCTTTCCTAGGCTCCGAATCAAAGGACGGTGTTTAAATAGGCAAGGGAAAGCCCAACCAAAGATCGAGGAATGGTTCCCCCTATCGCAGCCGAACAGTACACGTTCAGTACCATTGAGCACCGTACCCGTCATCCCGCTTCGCACGGCTACCAGTAGGCGGATAAGCACCTGAAGCAACCTTGGAAGCAGAACGCAACCTAACGCCGAAGACTATGAGATTAGTCAGATTCTAGGACTCACATCGACCTCTTACGACGGTCTTTTAAGCACCACACGCAGAGGAAAGGGGTTCCCTACAACGGAACCTAGGTTTCAAGATACTCACATCCGGTCACTCCCTCCCACAGCACGGTTGGTGTCGGGGGTGTTATCGAGGGCGCCACGGTCGACGACCTTGCGGCGCTGGCTGGACATGGCGCCGGGCTTGACGGCGGCCCCGGAGACGCCCATGGCGTTGGGGGCGACGCCCTGGCGACGCTGCTGCTCTTCGACCTCCTTGTCCTTCTTGTTGGCATCGACGATCATGGCGGCGTTCTTCTGGTACTTGTAGACGGTCCAGTCGAAAACGTAGTCGTACTGGAAGGACTCGCGGACGAAGAGATCGCGGAAGATCTTGCGGAGGTAGGAGTAGTCGGGCTTGTCGTCGAAGCGCAGGGAGCGGGTGTAGTTGAGGTAGATGGAAAACTCGTTGGGGAAGCCACGGCAGAGGACCTCGGTGGGGGTGGTCATCTTCTTCTCCATGATACGGTCGTACTTCTGCTTCTTGGTGGCAGCCTTCAGACCCTGCCAGGGAAGGGTTCCGCGGCAGAAGTAGAGCATCACGTAGCCCAGGGACTCCATGTCATCACGGCGAGACTGCTCGACGCCCAAGTGGGTGTTGATACTGGCGTAACGGGCGGTACCGGTGAGGTTCTTGTTCTCGCGGTAGGGGATGTGGAAGTGCGTCTTGGGGTCGCGGTACTTCTTGGCCAGACCGAAATCGATGACGTTGACCTGGTTGCCACGCTTGCCGATGCCCATGAGGAAGTTGTCGGGCTTGATGTCACGGTGGATGAAGGATTTGGCGTGGATGTACTCGATCCGGGAGATCAGCTGGTCGGCCAGGAGCAGGACGGTCTTGAGGGAGAATTTGCGGTTGCAGAAGTTGAAGAGATCCTCCAGCGAGGGACCGAGGAGATCGATGACCATGGCGTTGTAGTCACACTCGGTGCCGAACCAGCGGACAAAGGGGATACCCACGCCACCGGCGAGGGACTTGTAGACACGGGCCTCATACTCGAGCTGGGGGTGCTTGGCCTTGACGCTCTCGAGCTTGATGGCGATCTCCTCACCGGAGATGATGTTGGTGCCTAGAGAGTCAGCCTGGGATTATAAGGGATATATCTCAAGAAGAATAGCGTACCCAGGTAGATGTCACCAAAGCTACCACTACCAATCTTACGGCCGATACGGTACTTGTTACCGACACGCAAATCCTTCATCGGGTCAGTAGGTCGCCCTGGCGTCCGGGATCCGAAGGGCGACGGGCTCACCATGGTGGTCATGTTGATCGAATGGACGCACAGCGAACAGCTGTGACTGTATGATGATCAAGAAACTGTTCAGCCAAGCCAGTCAGCACTGAATCACGAAATCAAATCCCGAGGTCAACCGATCCGGACTGAATGAGGAACACAGAGAGGAAGGAAAGGTGAAGGGCCCTCCAGAAAAAAATGACAATAAATAAAGAAAAGGAAAGACCGAGACGAAATGAAGAGAGCAAGGTATCAACGGTCAAACACCGGCGCGTAAGTCGACTTAGGCGAGGTGGAAGAAGCGAGCGAGGCTGGCAACACCGCAACAAAGCTGAGGGGGGCAAGAAAGGCTGCCGATCCCAGGCGCCAGGGAAACGAATGGCAGAACGGGGAGGAAAGCAGGGGGGTGGAAGATGCGGGTGCAAGGAAGACGACCAGAAGGCACTACCTACCTGATCGACGGAGGGGGGGTTGGAAAGGTAGAAAAGGAAAGAAAAGGAAAGGAAAGGGGGAGAGATACCTAGTGGATGAAGTCGATTGAATGCTTCTTTTGAGAGGGGGTGAGGCGGCAAGAAAGAGGAGCAGTAAGAAGAGTAAGAGTGAGAGAGTAAGAGGGGAAGAAAGGACGGTCAGAGTCCGACCGGGAAGCGGGAAGGCGAAAGGCGAAAGGCGAAAAGGCGGAGAGGGTAAAAAATGGAGGAAAAAAGATAGGGGATGATGAGAGGATGGTTTGACGGGTTGATCAGGATCGAGAGAATTGATCAAATCAAGCAAGAGCAAAAGAACAAGGGAAAAAAACAGCAAGACAAGCAGAAGAAGACACAAATCAAGCGAGAATCAAGGACAGGGGAAAGCCTTGATAATGGAGGCGGTGGATGGAAGGAAGAAAGAAATGAAGATGAAGTTGATGAGGATGACAAGGAGAGTAAAATACACCAGGTATTATATACCTCCTGATCATGCAGATTCACGGGTATTCTTCAGGATGACAGTATATCTTACGTGACTAGAAGTCTCCTCGATATTCAACTTGCTCTTCACTTTGATGGTATTATGATAGATCTTGAGATCTCATATACCATTTTCTTGTCATTATCATTCGTTGAATTATCATATCATCGAAGAGTTGGTTAGTGAAGAAATATCAAGATATCGCTGGAGGTGGAGATGATACAACCAGTAAAATACATCCCATCGAGGTAATACAACTGGTAACATTGGGCGGCAAAAACAAACATTTATCATTCGAATTCTAGTCAATATATACAGCATAACACATCACAGATAATTAATATCAATTATCCTTCTAGTATATAGATAATATACGCCTCCTCCATCCTCTGATCAAGTCAAATCAATAATATAAAGAATCAAATACCGTCAAAATACAAGATAGAATCTAGAAAACATTGGGCACAAACCACTCATCAGATGATGGGCTGATTGATTACCCGTATTGCAGTATGATATGACACCTCTCTTTCAAACCTTCATTTCTTCATCAATTGTTTACTCTCTACCTACCTCAAGGTACATATATCAACAGCTCTCATCACTGAATCTCGGTGTAGACTTCAAACAACAGTCATACCCCTATTATATAACTTTCTCTAACCTTCATGGTACACTCAGACAACGTATAACAATCAACAATCAACAAATATGGATATACCCAACCGGTTATATATAGTAACTTCACCGCCAGGATGATCCCAATTCCACCTCCCTCCATACAATATCAAGCCAACCTCGGGAATCAATCATTGCCCGACTCGACCGACTCCATCCATTGGGTACATAACCTACATGCCTACTTTCCCAACTGTCCATCCATCTCGTGACTGATATATACCTACCTATAGTTATAATACCCAACCCAACCTCAATCCACTAAATATCACAAATGACAGCAGACTAAGAAAAAAAAATCTCCACTTCCGATTCTGTCATCCCTGTCAGATGTACGGAGTACGGTGGGTGCTTTCCCACGGGCTTGGATCCCCACTTCTTTTTTGCTTGTACATCTCTCTCCTTCTCTTTTGGTTGATCCCTCCGTGACAAGAAAACCCCATCATCTATGCCTCCTTGCGTGGTTTCTCCTTCAACTAGCTATATCTATTATCTATTATCTACTATCCACTATCTACTATCTACTTCAAATGGATCCTCAATTCGTGCCGACAGCCTACACTACTTCTTGAGAATGATTAGAAAGATCAAGATTGCAGTGACTTCGTAAGAAATATAATGGTACAGTGCAGGTTAGGACACAGACAAAGATGGACGAAGGGGTATAAAAGAAAAAGTGAAATCAAAAAGTGGCCAGATAAGGTGTGAAAAATGTATAGAAGAGAATGGGGGCCAGGGAATGGAATCAAATCCGGCAATCAAACTGCCACAGGCCGTGAGAAAGAGAGCAATGGGGGCAACGGAATTATAATCACAACAACGAAACAGAAACACGATAGACAGGGTAAAAAAAATAGATTAGAGAAAAAAAAGGGGGGAAGAAGAATAAAAAAGTGAAATAGAATAAGAGAATGGGACAAGAGGTCTCACTCATCCGGGGTGTCAATCATCTCTCTCCCAATAAAACAAAGACAAGTCAGCCGAATGGCTTATATCATGTTCGTCGCCGTATGGCCCTCCGCGTTCCGTGGCTGGCTCTTCCCCGGCGAGCTTGCCCGCGTTTCACCCTCGTCCAATCGTCGTCGCCATTCCGCTAGGCTGTCGCTCATCCCGGATTCCTTGGTCGGCGTGCGGTCGAAATCGGACTGCGTGCTCAGTCGGTAGTTGTGATTGGTGCTCTCCCAGTGGGTGCGCAGCGTCTCCAGCTCGTTGGCCAGCGAGTCCAACGCCATCGACCCCCGGTTGTCGAGGAAGGTCGGATCGTGCGACGTGGCGCTGTCCGCGCGGGATCGACCGCCATTGCCGCTGATCGTGTTGCTCGAGGCGTTGCTGTGACTGCGAGAGATCCCATTGGTGCCCTGTCCGGAGTGCGACTGGCGACGGTAGTGCCCGACCGAGGCCTCCACCTGGTCCAAGAGCATCGTGACCTTATGCTCGGCGTCGGACGCGCGCGTCTCGAGCAGCGAGTTCTCCTGCTGCAGCTGCTCCAGCTCCCCGCGCGCCTTCTCGGCCGCGGCGGCGAGCTCCTGACGCGCGCTCTCGTACTGCTGCTTGTTGGTGTCGGCCGCGGACAGATCTTTCTTGAGGTCGGCCACCTGTTGCTCGAGGTCGTCGATGGTGGAGCTCGTCCGCTGTTGCAGCTCGGCCATGGACTCCTGGAGTCTGGTGCGTTCGGCCTCCCATTCAGATAACTCGCCAGACGACGCACCAGCCGGGGCCTGCCGGGCCGCCTCCAGCTCGGACTGGATCTTGGCATTCTGGGACTTGTAGCGCGAAAGCTCGTCCTTCATGCGCTTCAGCATCTTCTCAGTCCCCTTGACGTAGTGGACGGCGGACTGGTAGTCGTTCTCCAGCTGCTCGAGCTTCTCGCGATACGTCCGCTCGGCCTCCTGCTCGCGGGTCTCAACGGACGATTTCAGGTCGTCGTGCGCCTTCAGGCTCGACGACAGCTGCTGCTCCAGCTCGCGCAGGCGACCTTGCTCGGGGGTGCCGAACCGAGAACCAGGCGAGTCCAGCCGGGGCGAGCGCCGGCTGTCCGAGTAGTTGACGCCACGCTCCCCCAGGAGGTCTTTGAGGACGGTGTGCTGGATGGCCAACGCACCGGCCTCGCGTTGGTGGTTCTCCAGCTGGGATTTGATCTCCCGGTTTTCCGCGGCATGCGTCTGGCTGTCCTTCATGGCCGCCTGCAGCTGCCGGCGAAGTTGCAGCCCTTCGCGGCTGGCCTGTTCCTGGTATGCCTCCAGCCCCGCGATCCGCTCCTCCGCACGTCGCAGTTTCTCTGCCGCGTCGTCGGCCGCAGCCTGGCCGTTCTTCGCCAACTGGTTCGCGCGCTCCACCTGCGCCTCCAGGACAGCGACCCGCTGGTCGGCGAAGGATCGCGCCGAGGTTTCAGAGTCGAACGAGGACGCACGATCCAGGCCGGAGAGGAAGGCATTCTTGTGGGTCTCGGCCTCTCTCGCATTCGTCTCGGCGAGTTCTTCCGCATCGCGCAACCGACGGCTCGCGTTTTCCAGCTCGGAGGTCCGCTCCTCGTGCTCGGACCGCAGCTGCAGGAGCTTCCGCTCCAGGCCTTCCCGGCGCTCACGCTCTTCATCCAACTGTCGCTCAAGGAGGGTCGACTTCTCGGACGAGGCGGTGACAGCCTCCCGCAGGCTGGTGAGGCTGAGCCCCAGATCCTTCAGGCGGGACGACGCGTCCTCGGCTTTCTTCTCAAATTCCTCCTTATCCAGCGAGAGCTGTTTCAGGGCAGACTCGGCCTCGGACCGGAGCATGGACTCCTCCCGCAATGACGCCTCCGCCTGGTGAAGCTCGGCGCGCAGGCTCTCGGCTTCCAGGCTGTTGTTGTTCATCTCCAGTTCGGCCAGCCGCTTCCGCGTGGCCTCGCACGTCTCTTCGGCCAATTCCCGACCACGCTTCTCCTGGTCGAGTTCGGTCGTGACCACCTCCATCCGGGCCTTGACCTCATTCTGGGCCGCGAGCGCGAGCGCAAGCCGCCGGCTGACGTCGGTCGCCCGCTCCGTGCCGGATTCGTCGCCGTCATGAAGGTTTCGATCGGGTTGGGGGGTACCGCGCTGGCTGCCGCCGTGGGCGGCGAGTTTCGCGCGCGAGTAAGCCGCTTCATTGACGGCCACATCCCGCTGATGCTCCACCTCGGCGACCCGCTTCGACGCGATCGCAGCCTGACGATCGACCGTGGCCTGCATCTTGGCCAATTCCGCCCTCATGGCCAGGAACGCCTCGATCAGCGGGCGGTCGTCATCCGCAAAGATCTCGGCGGAACGCTCATCCAAGGCCGGACTGCTGGACGGGTTCGGGGAGTAACCGGCTTTCTTGGCCAACGCGAGTTCCGATGCGTACCAAGCGTTGCGGCCCTTGAGGGCCTCGAGCTCCTTGATCAGCGCTTCCTGGTGCGCGGTCAGCCGGGGCGACCGGGGTTCCTCTCCCAGCGTTTTCGAATTCCGGTAGTTGCGGGAGTCGACCGAACCGTCGACGCTCGCATGTCGACCCAAGATGGACTCGTCGGCGCTGTCCAGGGAGCTGCGTTGTCGCTGTCGCAGCGAGCGCTGTCGGGCGGGCTGACTGATGAGCGGAGCGGCCTCGCCGGTCTCCATGGCCTTGGCAGACATCCGAGATTGTTGCTGAGTCGGTGTGCGGTTCCCGCCGGGCGCAGAGCCGGTTTCGGACATGGCCCTCGCGTCTCTGGGCGAGTCCCTGGCTCCCGGGGAATCGTGACCTCTGTCGGCCGCCACCGCTCGGACGGTGTCAACCGGTGGGCCACCATATCCCCGATCCAGCTTGGGGGGCGTCTTGCTCCGTGGGTTCATGGCGTGCGGAGAGGTGGCGGCGCGCGGGCCAGGGGTCGGAGCCTGACCGGGGGGCGGAGGCCCTTGCGGGGCCTGGGCGATGGACGCTCTCGGAAGACGCGAGCCGGGGCCCGCGCCAGGGCCGTACTCGACTGGCCTGTTGGTCGGGCTCATCATGCTCTCCCGTGGCGCTCCCGGTCCGCGACGGTAGGCATCTGCGTGTTGCGCTTCGCGGGATGTCCGACCGGTCTGCGGACCAGGCCGGTCACTGCTGGCCTTCCGGGGACCCACGGCCGCTCCCCGCTCGCCCGCCGGGGCCTCTGCCGGGTAGCGAATCTTGGACGTATCGAGGATGTATGCCATGCTGAGTTCGACGGGATCCCTGGGCGCCGAGCTCGGTTCACCCGCGACCACGATGATGTGCTTCCCAAAGGCGGTCATGCTGTGTCCGGACCTCGGCGATGGGGCCGGGCCCATGTTCTGGAACGAGTACCACCGTCGCGTGGAAATGCGAAACGCGGCCAGATCCCCCAAATCCAGGCCCTCGTCGGTACGACCGCCGAAAATATACATCACGTCGTTCACGAGGGCCGCCGCATGGCCCTCCCGGGGAGTCGGGATGAAACCAACGCAATCTAATTGGGTCCATTGATTCGCACGGGGGTCGTAGCACCAGACGTCGTTGAACCACTGGACGCCGTTCGTTCCTCCGAAGCTAGACGGGAGAGGTGAGACATGAGCGGGGATGGCCTGGAGGGGGGAGCACACGGTGCTATTGCCGACTTGAAACTTACAGGTATAATTTATCGTTGAAACCGACGATCGTATGGTTCGTCCGGGCGGGCGGGATCTGGCCAGGCGGGGGTCCGCCCTCGTGGCTGTTCCGAATCAGGAATTCCCATGTATTCGTCGGATTCTGGAGTTGGTTGAGGTCAAAGGCGACCAAGTCGTTGAAGAAGAAGCCCTCCACCTGTCCACCAAAGACATAGATTTTGGAACCAAGAATGTTCAACGTGTGGCCATAGCGGCCTGAGGGGCGGGGACTGGGAGGGATGGAACGGGACCATTGCCGGGAAGCTAACATGTACGGTCAGTGACTGCCTCCAGATCGAGGACCCAACAAGAGAGTGAGAGCGACGTACAAGTATTAAGGAGGTAGAGGGTATCATCCAGCGCATCGTTCTCATCCACCTTGGTATCACCGCCAAATACGATGAAGGCATTCCCGACCAGCAGACTTGCATGGCCCACGCGCGGACCGGGACCATCCGCGACCGTAGCGATTGGGAAACACGACAGATTCCCGCCGCTACTCTCCATCATCCAGAGGTCACCCTTGACGGTCGAGCCATCGATCAACCCACCCATCATATAGATATCCCCTTCTTTCGACGAGACGGCATTGATGGCGGCGCCATAGCGAGGGAAGGGGTTGGCCTGGGGGGAAGAGAAGTTCAAACGGCGCTGCGACCATGGATAGAGCGAGGTTCCGGGGCTGGTGTTGGGCGAGTTACTGGCGCTACCCGTCTGAGGCTGTCGTTGGGACTGCTCACCATGCGTCAGGGACGGTGTCGAGGGCGAATCCAGGGGTCTACCTACCTGCGACTCCGATTCCGCCCGTTGCCGTGACCGTTGATACTCGGGACTGCCTGCGCTATTGATCGAGTTCAGGGAATTATTGTAGCTGCTGCTGGGGGTGGGTGTCTGGGCGGCTCCGGCCTCCCGTTCCTTGGGCGCATTAGGGACTGTGGCGGGGGGATTCGCCGCGGGAGCGTCGGAGGCGTTGATGTTTCTCGCCCCTGGGGGTACACCAGCACTTTGCTGGTTTTTCTTGGATTTGAACAAGAAGGCCATCGTGAAAAAGGGAGGTCGTAAACAGTCGTTTCAAAGAGCGCGCACGGTCGAGAAAGGACCACGAAAAAAAAAAAAAGGAAAAAAGCCAACCGACCGGCGAGGCCGACGAAGGATACCCAGGTGGTTGGGACGAGTGACGGGTCTTGATCTTCCGGGGGGGGGGCGTTGTCAATTCGTTGATCGGAGGAAAGAAACCCTGATCCCTGATCAAGCCAGCCGACAGTCACCGGGGGGGAAGGAAGATAAGGGAAGGCGAAAGGAATGTCCCCTCCGGCGGTAATTCAGAATTGATCACGGTAAGGTCGGGTTTGGATAGCGACTTCCCCGAAGAAGCATAGGCGATTTAGGCACGGGAATACACACAACCCCACAACACCCGCAACAAAAGGGGTTGGAGGAGAAAACCGAAAGGATGGGACGAAGACGGAGGGTGGAAGAATTGGGGGGGGAAAGTGTGGAGGGAGAATTATGGAAAGAAGATGAAAAGACCCAAAAAGGAAGAGAAAAAGAAAAACAAAGACAAGAAAATAAAGAGAGAGAGAGAGAGAGAGAGAGGATTATGGATGGAGAAGGGGAGAAGAAGAGGAGAACATTTGGAGAAGTAAGAGAGAAAAGAAGGAGAAAGAGAGAGAGAATCGGTGTTTCAAGTCCGTCAGTGTTCAGTCTGGCAGTTTAAGGTTAGAAGGGAGAGAAGAAGAGCATTAGATAATTCTGTTTATTACGATCGTTCATGAACGTGTGGTTTGGGTTAGTTTTCTTTGCTCTTACTCTTTTTTATTCCTCTTTCTATTCTACGAGGTACTTCTACTTCTATTCTTGAATTCTACTCTCTTCCCCTGTCTACTGTGGAAGAGGCAAGGTTATGTGGAATGACCTCAAGGTAGGTAGTATACTGTCAACGAACACCTTAATTTTATATCAAAACGTAAATCCACGAAAAGAACAGTCAAAAGGTCCACCCGGATCTCCTGGATTTCATAGGCTCATCTTCCTCTTTCTGCTTTCTCTTGCATCTCAAGCGACGCAGGTATCAATCTCGATCTACCCTCACCAATCAGTCGGTCTCATGCTATGCAGCAGAAGCCATCAAAACCACATCTACGTGCATGAAGCATGGTTCTCCCTTCCTCGCTCAGTCGACCTTGCTCTCTCTCTTTCCCTCTCCCTCCTCCATCTTATTCTCGCCTCCTCTGTTTATCCTGTTTCTGACATTCCAATCAACCCGACGTTGGCCTGGTTATGCCGTGTTATGTAAACAGTCGAACCACTCGTGTCGTCTGGATCAGAGCAAATCATCTCATTTGTCCTTTGTCTTGAACCCTTTCGGAGTATCTATCCCTTGCAGTCCACACAGTCCTCCTCCGTACTTGGGGCCATGCAGGAACCAAGCACTTTTACCCACTCTGCAAGCATGCAGTTTCAGGAACGGAGCGACAGACTAGTCACGACCCGCTTCGTGCTTTCAAGAAGAAGAAAAAAAAAAAAAAAAGAGAGATAATAACAAATAAGAAACTTAAGAAAAGCAAAAAAAAAAAATAGGTTAACGTAGTCAACTAAGGAGCAAGTAAAATCATTAATTATCATCACTCCAGAAAGGATACGATCAACCAGACAACCAGAAAAATCCAGGCTTGGGTCTCCATGAATACTAAGTTAGATGATTCCGGTTAGACGCGTTGGAGGCTGGTTTAGTTCAGGACGGACCAGGGGACCACCAGTCCACAACAGGGCGGATCCAGGGGTAATGAGGGTCAAATCGACCACCGGGGCTTCGAGCCTTGGTCCCATCTGACTGGCCACTGATCCCCGAAGAGGGGACGGTCATTCATACCGGGTCGTGGGAAAAAAAGAGTCTGGTCTTTTTATAGGCTGTTCATGCAGACCTATCAGAGATTGGAGACTGGAGACTGGAGACTGAGAGGCTGGAGCATTTGGGGAGATTCCAAACTGGGTATGGGGACATGGGGCATTAAACGGTCCAGTTAGACTGACTGGCTAGCAGTGACTGGCCAGTGCGGGTTTAGAACTTGGACCTAATATCAATTTCAGCCACTCCTGAGATGGACCAAGTGGAAAGTTGAGTCTATCAGGCATTCAGGCAACATCAACATACTGTATCAACCCGAGGTCTCTTGATGATGTCCCTACAGAATACCAAGTAGGGCAACCGATCCACCAGACTCGTGATAGTGAGACTGTCGGGACATGTGGGAGAGAAGCCAAGAAGATGGCTGAAAACAACCAATTAGAAGGTTTATTCAAGAAGCCCCTGACAGAGATCCCCCAGAAGATATAATCTAATTGATAGCCCTGTTCAGTGGATAAATGGTCATGATGATAGACAGACAATCTCATCAATCTATGAAGAGAATAGATATCATCCTGATACTCCGTAGACTCTGTCATGTTCTGTGTATTATGTACATATGAAAGCGTGTATAAATGGTACTGACGTAATCAACCGGATATCCCCGGGACTATAATGATCCGGCATCCATGCCAAGACATCGTCGACATTGAAGCTCCAGATGAACCTCACCGTTTCGCCCAAGATATCCCGAACTTTGACTGATTTGGAATCTGCTGGCTGAGGGGACAGAATACAAGAAGCGCTTTTGTTCTATATTGACGGGGAAATCTGTTCTCCCCCGTCATATCCCCCCCGCTCCCATCTCTTTCCACACAGGCCTTGCATTCCTACCGCCAAAGGAGCTTCTTCCGTTGCCGACTGTTGAGCTGACAGATTGGGTATGTCAAATCAATCGACCGTGATAAGAGGACAGCCGATACCCCTGCACTGTGAACCCCACATCATTTCCCCCCCCACCACCATCATCATCGTCATCACCATCACCACGAGATAATTCCACGCAAAGGAACATCCCGGTTCTCAACCAGGTTCCCCAAGTTGTGACGAACGATCGGCTTGCTGACCCGCTGGCCGTACAGAATCCGAGTCGCCGGGTCGTACTCCCTTGGGACGAACACCATGATCATCTCCGGATAATGAAGGATCCCAACAGCAACATGGAACAACAATACACGGCGATGAAACAGCAAGCCTCCAGCGTCCAGGGTGAACCCCGCAAGACCAACGGAAAGTCGGTGCGCGTAGCCTTTGGCCCGGATTTGGAGACGCATATCCCCCCGCGCGAGCGCTCCCCTGCACCGCTCTCAGCACACCACCGATCCTTCACCTCCATCGACCACAAACCGCCACCACCTCAGAATTCGGCCCGACCGACGACATCCGCGGTAGGGGACGACTCCGCGCTGATCGACGCCAGCTCCCGGTTGGCCCCGGACCGCGCGTCCGAGTCGGTCGCGCGGCCGGCGACGCTGAAACGCGCAAAGAGTGACTATGGGCCCCGCATCGAGTTTGACCGATCGAACGTGGGAGACGAGGACGAGGACTTTGCGATGAGACATGGGTGGCAGGAAGAGTATACGTCGAGCGAATACCTGAAGATTTTGCACTCGGTAAGCCCAAGCATTTCGCGCCGCTGATACCTCATAACCTTGGTATCGTGGACTCTGGATTCTACGGGACCTAACACGATCAGAACTTTTACATGTACTTCACCGAGAAGCGCCACGAGACGAATGGCATCCCGAGGGACCCCGTCGGGAGTTGGCCCAGCCAAGACTGGCGCATGAAGGACCGCTTGAAAACGGTGTCGGCGGCGTTGGCCATCTGCCTGAACATCGGTGTCGATCCGCCGGATGTGGTCAAGACCAACCCGGCGGCGAAGCTAGAGTGCTGGGTCGATCCGACGTCCACCACCGGCGGCGGGCAGAACAAGATCATGGAACAGATCGGGAAGAAGCTACAGGAACAATACGAGACTCTCAGCTTGAGGACGAGATACAAGCAGTACCTCGATCCATCCGTGGACGAAACGAAGAAGTTTTGCATATCCCTGCGTCGCAACGCCAAAGACGAGCGGGTGCTCTTCCACTACAACGGCCACGGTGTGCCCCTACCCACCCAGTCGGGCGAAATCTGGGTGTTCAACAAGAACTATACCCAGTACATCCCCGTGTCGCTGTATGACCTCCAATCGTGGCTCGCGGGGCCCAGTCTTTTCGTCTTCGACGTTTCCCACGCGGGCAACATCGTGCAAAACTTCCATACCTTTGTGGAGAAGCACCAAAAGGAAAACGGCGAGGCGAAGAAGCGGGACCCGAATGCCCTGGTCCAAAGCTACGGCGACTGCATCATCCTCGCCGCCTGCCAGAAGGGCGAATCGCTGCCCACAAACCCGGATCTGCCTGCGGATCTCTTCACGTGTTGTTTGACCACCCCAATCGAGATCGCATTGCGCTTCTTTATCCTCCAGAATCCTCTCCAATCGCACCTCTCAATCGACGACTTCCGCGTCCCCGGTCGCCTGCAAGACCGCCGCAGCCCGCTTGGGGAGCTCAACTGGATCTTCACGGCCATCACGGACACCATCGCGTGGAATACGTTGCCCCGGGCTCTGTTCAAGAAGCTGTTCCGCCAGGACTTGATGGTTGCCGCGCTGTTCAGGAACTTCCTGCTCGCTGAGCGGATCATGCGCGCGTACAAGTGCCACCCCATCTCATCTCCCGACCTTCCGGAAACCCACCATCACCCGCTGTGGAAGAGCTGGGACCTGGCCGTGGAGATGGTCCTGTCTCAGCTTCCGGCCCTGATCGACCACGAAGAAGGCCGCCGGCAGTACGAGTATCAGCATTCGACCTTCTTTGCCGAGCAGCTGACGGCCTTCGAGGTCTACCTGTCGTCCGGCCCGACGGAAAAAAACCCGCCAGACCAACTCCCGATTGTCCTGCAAGTGCTTCTGAGTCAGGCGCACCGACTGAGGGCGCTCATCCTGTTGAGTAAATTCCTGGACCTGGGTCCGTGGGCCGTTCACCTAGCCCTCAGCATCGGCATCTTCCCCTATGTGGTCAAACTTCTCCAGTCAGCCGCCCAGGAACTGAAGCCCGTCATGGTTTTCATCTGGGCTCGAATCATGGCCGTCGACCATACGGTACAAAATGATCTGCTGAAGGACAACGGGATCCATTATTTCATCTCCATCCTCAACCCCTCCTCGCCGATCCCCGTGGGCAATGCCAGTGAGCACCGGGCCATGTGCGCCTTCATCGTGTCGATCTTTTGCAAGAACTACCCCCAGGGCCAGAACGTGTGTCTGTCGGCGGAACTCTTCAACTCTTGCCTAAGACACTTGATGGATATGGAGAACCCACTGTTGAGACAGTGGTCTTGTCTCTGCATTAGCATGCTTTGGTCAGACTTCCCCGAGGCGAAATGGATGGGCATCCGGTGTGCGGCCCCCGCAAGGCTGTGCGAACTCAACTTCGACCCGGTTCCGGAGGTCCGCGCCGCCATGTTGCACGCCGTGACGTCGTTCCTCGGCATCCCCGACCTGACGGACCAGGTGGCCCAGATTGAAGAAACGCTGGCCTTGGCGGTGCTGCCGATGGCCGCGGATGGCAGCGTCCTGGTCAGAAGGGAGCTGCTCGTCTTCCTGTCGACCTTTGTGCGACGGTACCAGAATAAGTTCCTGGTCACTGCCTACGAAGAGTTCCAGGATGAGAAGCAGATCCTTCTCCTGAAACTGAACAATCTCAACTCTAAGGGGGTGTACTTGGAGGACGTGACAGCTGCCTCTATAGAGGGATACAAGGCGCAGACCCTGTCCCGCAATACCACATTCGGCACCATCTGGAAACAACTTCTCATCCTTTCTGTTGACCCTCATCCGGACATCGCACAAGATGCCTCGTTGGTTGTTGATTACACCCACCTGACTTTGCTGCAGTCTTCCATGGCATCTTTGACCGACGCGATCCGGATTGAAATAATGGAACTTACGAATCGGCTCGCCCAGCATACCCTGGCTCGAGAGAGACCCGAGTCGAGAAGAACGACTGCTCCCCCTCCAACCCCCCCATCTCTCCCAAAGCAGGAAGGATACCTCTCTTTGAGTCTCAAACGGACGGCTAGTGTTGCTGCATCTATCAAGAACCTCGCCTTCGGCAGTTCTTCCACCCAGAGTGATTCGCAATCATTACAACCCCCAGCATCTCCAAAGAGCCGGATGCCCATGACCCCCAGAGGGCGAGCCCCCCCGGAATGGACCCGGCCCCCGGAAGTGAACGATCACGTTGCTCCTACGTCGGCATACCACAAGGCACCGGCCCCTACATCCCGAGGATTCGAGCCCAGAGAGATGGCTCCCCCAACCGTCCCCCTGGTCAGCAGGTTCTTGGACTGGTCCGCAGAGGTAATCCCAGACTTGTTCAATTTGGTTTCAGAGCAACACCGTGTATTCTATGCGCAGTTTCTCACCCATGTCCAGTACTTCCGGGAGCCCCAGATGAAGCCCAACGAACCCGACGAGCCCGGTAGCGCCGACTACAACGAACGCCTCTGGAGACGGAGCCGCAACGAGAAGATCATCACGGATACCCAGCCCCTCAAGAGTAAAGCGGGCACCAGTCGATGGGACAACTCCATGGCTTTGCTTTCGAATAGTACCCAGCCTTTGAAGATGTGTTTCCATCAATTTGAAGACCACATCGCTGTTGCAGACGATCGGGATACAATTGCGTAAGTTCACCGAGATCTTTTCCCGAAATCAAGACAGAAAAGAAAGAAAGAAACCTAACATATAGGGCAGGATCTGGGATTTCCAGAGCCACAAACGGCTCAATCGTTTCTCCAACGGGAACCCACCCGGCTCGAAGATCAACGAAATCCGCTATATTAACGAGGATGATCAGGCATTGCTAATGACAGGCTCATCGGACGGCGTCCTCAAGGTTTTCCGAAACTACGAGTCAACCAAGGAGGTTGAGATCGTGACAGCATTCAGAGCCCTCCCCGAACTCATTCCGAGCAACCGCAATGCGGGTCTTGTGTTCGACTGGCAGCAAGGCCAGGGTCAAGCGCTCGTCGCCGGAGACGTCAAGGTTATCCGGGTGTGGAACGCGGCCAAGGAAGTTTGCACCAATGTAAGTGCCCTCTGCCGCCAGAACCGCCCTTCAAAATTCTAACGCAACCCCCACAGGACATCCCAGCCCGGTCAGGTTCCTGCATCACCTCATTAACCTCCGATCAAGTCGCGGGGAATATCTTCGTAGCTGGATTCGGAGACGGAGCAGTGCGCGTCTTCGACCAACGTCTCAAGCCCACGACCTCCATGGTCAAGGTATGGCGAGACCACAAGCAATGGGTCACTAACGTGCACATGCAACGAGGCGGCCTGCGCGAGCTAGTATCAGGTAGTCGAAACGGCGAGATCAGACTTTGGGATCTCCGAATGCACGATCCGATTTCCACCATCCACGCCACGAGAGATACTCTGCGCACGTTGAGCGTCCACGAACACGCCCCTGTCTTCATGGTGTATGTTCTCCTGTCTCCCTCCTTTCGACTCTTGACCCGTTCACCACTAACATGACATGATAAAAAACAGTGGCACAAACAGACACGAAGTCAAGACCTTCAACGTCGGAGGCAACCACCTCTCGACCTTCGAACCCTACTCCAGCTTCCTCCACCATAACCGTTCCTCCCCGATAGCCAGTACCGCGTTCCACCCGCACCGCACTATCTTTGCCTGCGCAGCCCTTAATGATAACCATATCAACTTGGTGACTTGCTAGATGGATAGATCTAGGAGCGATACAAGATATCTCGAACAGATGTCTAGGTGGCGTCTATCCCTAACCTACCCAACCTCTCCCCGTCCCCCCCGGCAATCCTTTATAGAGTCTACACCTACGATTCCTGTCTCTAGTATATGCCTCCCACTCATGTTTCTTTTCTTCTTTACTTCCTTCATTCTTTCTCTTTTTTTCTTCCCTCCACCTCCGAATCATCATGATCCATCCCTCATCTTTTCTTTGTCTGACACGAATAACTATTCCAAGACCACGACGGACTGTTCTACTTACTCTATCCTATCCTATTCTTCTTTCTTTTCCTCTCTTTTCTTCCTTTTATTTCCTCATTGTTTACCTTCCTTCCCTTCCCTTATCCTCGACACGCTTAATCCTTATCATCACGCATGGGTCTCCGGCGTAGGGTCGTCAATTCATATATTTCCTTTTCTTTTTCTTTTCCTTTCTATTTTCCTTATTATCCTATTTTATTTTCATCTTTTTTTTTTTTTTTTTTTTTTAAATTGCCAGCAATTTGAGCAATC